TCACCCAACTCCTTCCAGGCCAGGGGTGCGTGCTTAGGGTTGAGGGCGCAAGGGTGATTCGCCGCAACCCTAAACCCCAAACCCTAAACCCTAAACCGGGTTTCTGATGCTCCCGACCTCAGGAATCTGCAGATGCCCAAATTCCAGCTCTTAGAACTGCTTGTCACTCTGCAGTATTTCTCACAGACAAGCTTGGGTTTAGGGTTTCCGGTTGAGCGTTGAGGGTTTAGGGTTTAGGGTTTAGGGTTTGCCCCAAGCAAACCATACCATCCTTAGTCTAGTAGTACAGGCACGCTAAAACCGGCAAATCTATCATGCTGGCCCAAACCCCAAACAGTAAGACCTCTTCACAAGTATCCCTAAACCCGAGAACCCTAAACCAAGAGTGCCCGAGAGCACCCCAGGAAAGCAAAATGCAGATGGTTTAGGGTTTAGAGTTTAGGGTTTAGGGTTGGGGGTAAGGGTTTACAGTTGAGGGTTACTCGGAGGTCTGTCAGGATACTATATAAGTAGCGTTATAAGCAGGGTAACTATGATGATATCCTTATTTTGTAGTACCCATGAGCCTCCAAGAAAAGTCATTCCAAGACCACTTCAAGAACGACCCCGAGGCAAAAAGCGGCGACAGTTCTGCACTATTGACGAGGAACCCAGCCGCCATTTGCAACACCACGAAATGCTCATCCCCTCGGCATGGGTGCGAAGCCGACGCAGACAAGAGCCCAAAATGCCGGAAGCGCGCCACGTTTTCGGGACACGGAGAGGCGTGAGGCGCAAAAGGTACGAGATCTAGGCGGGAGGATGATGTGGACTGCGGAAGGCGCGCCGAAGCTGGAATGCGGTTTGGCAATTGGAACCCGAAACACGAAACCCTGAACCCTAAACCGTGCGGAGTATGTGTGATCCTTGGGGGCCAAATGAACTCCACAGAGTTTCTGGTCCAGATACCTGAACTGGAAGGCTTGGGGTTTCGGGTTTAAGGTTTAGGGTTTAGGGTTTATAGGGTTCATGAAGGTACTTTAAGTATAGGGTTACAAGCACGGGAACTATGGTGATAGCCTTAGTTAGTTAGGGCTCTTACAACCCCTACTTACAAACACCCTTGAACCTTCAAGTATGACCGCAGACATGGCGTTTGATGCGGGCGCACGGACAGGCTCCGTCTCATGCGCATGGCACCTAGAGGAGAGCGGGTGGGCCCAGCATAGACATGAAACCCCAAACCCTAAACCCTAAACCCTAAACCATGCTGACTATGCGATTTCGAGGCCAACTTTCAATGCGGCAACCCCATAGTGCAAGCACTGCGCGGGGAAGTTTCTACGTTTCTACCCCCACGAAATTCCCCCAACCGTAAACCCTACACCCTAAACCCTACACCCTAAACACGAAACCCCCTCCACCCCCCCCCCCCCACTATCAGCTGACCCTCTCGGCCGGTGTAGGAGGAGGGCGCGGAAGGGCCTCCGGAACCTTACGGCTGAAGCCCGCTTCGAGGGCGGTGTCCCGGTAACCTCCCGAAGGAAAAGTCTGCCTTCACCTGTCTTCTGGTCTAACTTGGAGGTTCATGGACTTAGGTTTTTGGGTTTAGGGTTTTAGTGTTTAGGGTTTAGGGTTTAGGTTTTTGTTGTCTACTTGAGGTTTCATGGTACTTCTCGAACCAATTCTGTACTTATAAGTGTACTTCTCACCGTAATTAAGGGCACCGAAGGGGCTTATAAGCGGGTTTAAGTACAGTTTAATTAGCTACTATACCATGACCTCCAAGATGAAGGTATACTCGTGGTAGCTTGGCTATACACAACGGTTACATGTTTTGAATATGCCTTGGCCGCAGACCCCTGCTTTTGGGGGACTCAATTTTCATTTAACATATCTTTCTTTCTTATACCATATTGCATAGCACATATATATATACATACATGTCACATACATGTGACGATTTCTCTTTGCATTACATGATTAGAAAGGGCTGCAATAGCACAGGGGCCGCAAGGACCAGCCTCATGCCCGACGCGTTTCCTCTACGAAGGGTTTGGTGGCTGGGCTTCGGCACCTTCGGGTAAGAAGCCCTGCGTAGGTTGAGGGTTTCGGGTTTTGGGTTTTAGAGCAAAAAGGTTTGATGGGGGTTTTAGGGTTCATAGAGGATTGCGGGCTCCTTGAGCCCCCTGTGTGCGAGCGCCCAAAAGCCCCCAACAAATGCGAGAGGTCCTGCAGCCTGAGTGAATCAAAGAAGATCAAAGACAGCACATGGAAAGCACCCATCGCATGTGCATGTCCGTTTCCTGTACTCCAGACTTTTGGAGTCCCCATATGGCAAGACCATTCCCAACCCGTACATTACCATTGACGTGGCGGAGGCTGTAACAGGCAGCTTTGTCCATGCGACTGTGCCTGTGTAGGCTTTTGGTGCTGGGCCTCTTGCAGTACTTTTTTGGAGAATAAGTTTTTTTGTCATAGTGCTTCGTTGGGCGCAGAGCTCATAATTACAGCTAGTGTAAAAGTCTGTCAGTCAGAATCTAGTCTGGTACCACGACATGCATATCAATTCGCGTGTAAAGCACCCCGTGTCGTGAAGGTCGGGGTCCAACTTCCATTAATTGTAGACGCTTGCGCCTGCCGCCCGGCAGCCGGGCCGGCCCCAGGACAGGAAAGGAGGCAAGAGGGTTTTCGCAAAAAAGGGGAGGAAGCGGGGTTAGGGAGGGGGGGGCAAGGGGGGAGGAGGGGGGAGGAGGAGGGGGGAGGAGGGTAGGGGGATTGGGGGGGGTCCCACAGGGCGAGGGGGTGGGGGGGGGGGGGGTGGCGTCACAAAATTTGCATGGGGGGAAGGGTTGGGTTAGGGGGAAGGAGGCCCGATCCGGGTCTGCTTGTTCCAGACGCTTCTCGGCAGCAAGCCGAGACGAGGCGAATTACCGGATTTAGGCAAGTAATCACATCAGGCATATTACCTTGCCTTTGGACGAACAAGACCAGACCGTTGAACTCTTTGCTCCCGAAGTTCGGGAAACCAGAGCCCAAAAAGCTAAACCCTAGTTCGTGCTCTTGGGTGCCTCGTGTCTTGGGATCATGCGAGCGCTTGGTATCTCCCCGCACCTCATATACCGCCCCACCCCCCACCCCTCCAAGATACGATGTTCTCCATTTTCGGAGCGCCCCAGAAGGGTACCCCCTGTTGTCGGGAAATCCTCATAAGACTTGAGTGTATGATGTAGTGCTTAGGGCTGTGGGTTTGCCTACAGCCCCCAAGCTCCCACACTCCAGACCCCTACACCCTAAGTCCCGAATCCTAAACCCTCAGCCCTAGGCCCTAAACACTAAACTCTAAACCCTAAACCCTAAACCCTAAACCCTAAACCCCAAACCCCAAACCCTAAACCCTACTGCTAGGCAGGTGGCAAAACCCTAAGTCGGCTCGAGGCTGGATCATCCTGGAGGCTGGTGACGGCGGGGTCTCGGGGCCTGCTCCTGGGCAGGCCCTGGGGGCCGAGGGTTTAGGGCTTAGGGTTTAGGGTTTAGGGTTGAGGGTTGAGGGTTGAGGGTTGAGGTTTAGGGTTGAGGGTTGAGGGTTGAGGGTTGAGGGTTGAGGGTTTACGCCACGACGTGATCCTTGCATCGCGCCGCGCCGGGAGGACCTCACGCGCCACTGGCGCCTTCTGGCAGCGAGTTTTGGCAAGGCCGCGCTTGGGTTTAGGGTCTGGGGTTTAGGGTTTAGGGTTTAGTGTTTAGGGTTTAGGGTTTGGTTTTAGGGTTTAGGGATTTTCCGAAATTGGGGGTACCTGATTAGGCTCCTCATTATGAGGGGATCCTGCTATTTGGGATGAATCAATTTTCGGGGCCGTAAACCCTAAACCCTAAGCCCTAAATCCTAAACCCTAAACCCGAAACCCTAAATCCAGCCCATGGACGTTTGCTGAGTGACCAACTGGTGCATCTGACCTAGGTCTCTCCGATGGTAATTTGCTGGCGTCGGTTGTCCACCGATGGTAATTTGCTGGCGTTGGTTGTCCAGGGTTTCTGTGCTTAGTGGCCAGATTCTCTGTCAATCTTGCCCATTTTGCTGGCCTTGTTGCCCTCTGCAGCAAGTGCCGCCTCTGTATGCCACACTACCCGAAATCCTAAACCCTAAACCCTAAACCCCCCCCCAAACCCCCCCTCCCGCTCAGATTCGGCCAGCTATGCGGGTGCCAAAGGAACCCCCCCCCTCCTCCCGAAACCCTAAGCCCTCAACCCTAAACTCTAAACCCTATAAACCCTATAAACCCTAAACCCTAAACCTCATGAGCCAGGCCGGCAGTTCATCTGAATCATGATCAGGCTGGGCCTAGCTGCGTTTTTCTTTTTGCGGAGCCAGGGCGGGCCGATCCGCATGAGATGTCTTGATCGGATCCCGAAATGTTCATCCAGCAAATGTTTAACAGGGTTCCGATGAGAGTGCTTCATGATGGTGCCCTTAATATCGGAGCAAACCCTAAACCCTAAACCCTAAACCCTAAACCCTAAACCTTAAACCCGTCTCAGTTGCTGCCGAAGTGTCCGTTCTTCTTACGCTCCGACTGTCACACCTGCCTTTGGCTTCAGCAACTGCTAGGATCTCCCATTGGGGCCTTGTTCACCATTTAGGTTTAGGGTTTTAGGTTTGGGGCTTGGGGCTTAGGGCTTGGGGTTAGGTCTTAGGTTCGTTCCTCTCCGCCCAAATCCCGACACCCTCAGCCCTAAACCCACTTTCGTTCTTAGGTTACGGTGAAGCAGCCGTAGCTGCAGCTGGAACTGTAAGCATACTCTACTCTGCCCATCGAAGGATGGTGATGATGATAATGAGCCCGTGAGGGGACGCTTTCCGGAAAGTACATAGGAGGTGACGAACACAGGTGAAAATTGGCCAATGCTTCACATTCATAGCAGGAATCTCATCACTACTCTTTGCGAGCGGGCCCATATCAAGGCAACATGCTTGGCTTTCTCCCTAAACTCGAACCCCTAAACGCCAAGCCTCTGACAACATGGCGCTGTCTGACTGCATGTGTCTGCCCATCCAAAAGATGTTGGAGCCATTTGTGCTTTGGTCAAGTTCAGAAGGCTCTCAGTCGATTTGGGGTCCTTCGTGGTTTGTAATGCTTAGAGGGGTTATAAGGCCAAAAACGCTTTACGGGGCTCATGAGGTCTATACTGGTTAATTAGGAGGGGCGGTTCAGGGGTTATGGGGCTCTTAGGGCACACAGGGCTTCGGGGCGCATGCTTGGAGCTTCTAGGGTTTAGGGTTTAGGGTTTGCTCTGTTTTCTGGCACGTGGCACTTCTCCAAACTCCAAGCAAGTAGGTGGGTGCTCGAGCGGGCTACGACCCTGTAAACCCTAAACCCCTAAACCCTACACCCATGGATCCTATGAGTTCTGTGAGTTATTCAAAGAGAAGGCGCTGACTGAGAGATTCTTCCTGGACATCCCGGTTCCTTTCATGCCAGAGCTTTTTCGACTCGAGAGTGAAAACCCTCTGCTGTGTAATTTTAACTCTGAGCGACCCACCTCGGCCTGAGCTTCTGTAACAAGGCAACCCAACCGGAGAAGGGGGGTGGGGTGTGGGGGGGGGGGGGGGGGGGGGGGGGGGGGGGGGGGGGGTGGAGGCATGTTCGACACTGCCGGACAGCGTAACTGTTAAATTGGGGCATTTGGAACCAGGTTTCCATTTGGGGGGCTGTGCTCCCCCCAACCCCCCCGCTAACAGAGCAAGACATGCAAACAGAGCTTCAAAGCATATGAGTCTTTTGAAACCCAACATGCCCACCGCGCCACCGCAATATTGCCCAGCAGCATCCAAGGCACGGGGGTGGGTGGTGGGGGGGGAAGTGCCCCCTGGTTCGGATGCACCGTCTGCTCCCAGACACTTGTCGGCTATGGGGGTACCCGTTTCAGGCCAAAAAGTGCGCTGTTCATCGGGGATCATGCCCGCTTCGTGCTACCCAGACACCTACGGCCCGAGGCCTCGGCGGATATAGAGTTCTGGTCTCTCGGGTTGAGGGCTAAAAGGGTTTTTAGGGTTTTGTAAGGTTTAGGGTTTAGGAGTTTAGGGGTTTAGGGTATGGGGTTTTAGGGTTTCAATATAGGGGTCGGAATAAGTACTCGCACGTTTTGTAATTGCACTATAATAACTCCCCAAGACACTATTCGAATTATGAAGGCCCCTATCTTAGGTGTTTTCTTTGTTCGTGCCTAAACGCTCACTAAACCCTCTGCTCGAAGGTTCACGGGTACTTATAAGTAGGGTTATAAGTACCCTAAAGAAGGCTATAACCATAGTTGCCCCTGCTTAAAACCCTACGCCATAATCCCTAAACCCGGGTTTTCAGCCCCTGGGTTTCGGGTTTCGGGTTTCGGGTTTAGGGTTTAGGGTTTAGGGGTTAGGGTTTAGGGTTTAGGGGTCGGAAGCCCATGGCCGAAATGCCAGGTCCCAGGCGTGCACGCCACGATCTCCTATGCCTCAGAAGATGGGCAGCGGCTTTGTCCTGCAGTAAATCTCGGGGGGGTTCCGAAATTCGTGTTTAGGGTTTAGGGTTTAGGGTTTAGGGTTTAGGGTTTAGGGTTTAGGGTTTAGGGTTTAGGGTTTAGGGTTTAGGGTTTAGGGGCACCTTCTTGGGGTCCTGATTCTACGGGAATCCTATTATTTGGGGGTCTACATCCGGGGTCCCTTCTTTACGTAAACCCCCAAATCTGGCTAGAATCCCAGCTTTCGGCGTGCAGGGTTGTGGTGCGTGTGTTAGCCTGCGGCGGTGTAACCGTACCTGGTTTCTGCTACTTATCTTGGGGGAGGGGGGGGGGGTGGATAAGAACGTCATTCATATTGCATGCATGCCCAAAACACTGGATTTACAGCGTTGTCGCTTCTTTGTACAACATGCTGCACAAGCATGTGGAAGAAGAAAATCTGTCACAAGCGTCCAGCCTTTCGCGACCATGCCCAACACATGTCCCACAAAAACCGTCAAAGTCCTGAAATTTGGCAAATGCGTTTTCGGAAATGCAAGCCTCCACAAAATACAGCTGCAGAGGCTGTCTTGGCAGACATGCATGAAAACATCGCAAATTACAGTGTTTGCCGCGCGTGCACACAGCAAAGCTGTGAGACTCGCGTCACGACTGCACACACAGCAAAGGAAAAGTCCCAGAGCGCTCAAGGCCCCAACAACAAAACGACTTTTGCAAAAACCCAACGTTTCGCAAACACGACTTACGAAATCACACCTTTCTAAAACCTCTCGAAATAGGCCTGTCGCCTAGGCGAAACGCTAACTTTCACCAAAAAGAGGGTACGGTTTCCACGGCGGCGGGATGTGTTAGGATGGAGGTGACAGGGGGCCACGCCTCCTAGATGCTAAAGCCTAAGCCCTAAACGGCTGTACAAGCCTTTGAGCAAGTAAGCCTGCTTGGCAACTCAGGTACAAGGACGATGGGAAGCGGTCGCTTGGCGCTATGTCCAACCTCCATTACCCTAAGCCTGGTCCAATTCCCTAAAAGCCTCGACGGAGGCCGGCAATCAAGCCGGATTGAGGAAAAATGGTCTCGAGTTTGATTTGGGTTAACATGGGATTGCCTCATGGAGTCTGCGGTTGCCAGACGGAAAGTGTGGCTTTGAGTCCTTACCCTAGCCCTAAACCCTATACCCTAAACCCTAAATCCTAAACCCTAAACCCTGCACCCAAACCGACAGCAAGGACACGCTTTGTGGCGAACGGCCGCTACCGTTGCCACAACTTAGAGTCGCATGGCTTCGCCATGATGCGGGTGGCCCTGGAGAAAACCCAAGGTCAGCACTTAGGGTTTAGGGTTTAGGGTTAGGGTTTAGGGTTTAGGGTTTAGGGTTTAGGGCTTAGGTCTTTCAGGGTTTCTGGGGTTTTTTGGGGCTTTCGTTCAGGGCTTTCAGGGTTTCTAGGGTCTCTGGGGTTTTGAGGGCTTTTCAAGGCTTTGAGGGCTTTCAGGTTTTCAGGTTCTCAGGGTGTCAGGGTTTAGACGGTTTAGGGCTTCGTGGTTGGTCAGTTCCCTAAGCATCCCAGAATCATAAGGCTGTCCCTAAACCCTAAACCCTAAACCCCGAAAAAACCTTGTCTTTACCTTGCCACAAGGCGTCTCAGCACCCCCCATTCTTCGCCTTTTGCTGCGAAAACCGGCGGGGGGAGGGGGGGGCCCAGAGCCTGTAGGCATCCTGGGGTTTAGGGTTTAGGGTTTAGGGTTTAGGGTTTAGGGTTTAGGGTTTAGGGTTTAGGGCGCGGCAACAAGCCCAAAGAACACAAAAAGCAGCAGCAATCAAGTGTTATTCCCACAATAGAAGCAGCACAGTTTCTGGGTAAATTTCCTGAGGGTTCCTGTGGCTTTGGGGTTTTAAGGTTTTGGGCTTGCGGTATAGGTGGGGTTGAAGGTGAATTTAGCTTCTTGTCGAGCTACCCCGAATGCCGAGACCCTATCTGGGGGAGGGGGGGGAGGGGGCGGGGAAGGGTTAGGGTTTAGAGGTCTGAGAACCCGAAACTCCGCGTCGCCAGCGTTCGTTTTGTGGCCTTGCCAGGTCATGACTTGTACAACTACTTAGAGGCCAGCAAGGCCGGCTTGAGCGGCAGAGTGGGTTTAGGGGTCGATGGGGTTTAGGGTTTAGGGTTTAGGGTTTAGGGTTTAGGGTTTAGGGTTTAGGGTTCAGGGTTTACGGTTTAGGGTTTAGGGTTTAGGGTTTAGGGCAAAGTTTAAGGTTTTTTGTTTCTTAGAACCCAATGTTTAGGTTGAAAGTCCTGCATTAGAGAGAGCGAGAGACGTTGCTTACGTAATTCTGACTTTGGTCTCCATTATATCGTATCTTCCGCGAAGTTTTGGGTACCCGAATGATTAATGGGTAAACCCTCAAACCCGAACGAAACGCTACTTGGAGGTTCAGGGTACTTATAACCACAATTATAACTTATAACTGTACCTATAAGCCCTCATAAGTCCTCTAAGTAGGCTATATGTAGACTTTGAAATTGGGGTTACAAGTAATCCTGAACCTCCAAGTAAACCTTGATTGGCCTCGGAGGATGCTGTCTTCGGAGATCACGGCTGGGTTGAAAGTTCAGGATTGACAAGATCTTCAGCGTAGGGCTTTGATCGGATGCACGTTCTGGGAACGCTAAACCCCAAACCCGAAACCCTAAACCCTAAACCTTGAGCGATTCTCTGCCTCGCCTTCTCCCCCGTACCCAGGAGTGGACACATTTGTGTCTGACAACCAACCAACCTAAGCCCGAAGCCCTAAACCTTAAACCCCAAACCCCAAACGCCAAACCCCAAACCCTAAGCCCTAAACCCTAAACCCTAAACCCTAAGCCCTAAGCCCTAAACCCTAAACCCTAAACCCTGGCCCAGCCAGGTGCTGTACCCTGTGGCCGAAGACGTGCTCCGCAGAGCATTTCCATCTTCCACCAAGGCTGGGCTCGGGCCTTGCTAGGGTTTTAGGGTTTAGGGTTTGGGGTTTAGGGTTTAGGGTTTGAGGGTTTGGGGTTTAGGGTTTATGTTTTTTGTTGGAAAGAGGGGTTGTAGGATTTTAGGATTTTGGGGTTTTAGGGTAGCGGGTTAAGGAAGAAGCATCCCCACGCCTAAAGGCAGAACCCTCAAGCACCCTCAATGCCAATCAGTCACAACAACCCGAACACCCCAATCTGCCTTTGTTCTTTTAGCAATCGCCGAAGCCCTTGAGGGTTTAGGGATTAGGGTTAAGGGTTTAGGGGTTCAGGGTGTGACCCTCCATCCGTTCTTCAGATGGCTCAACCCATATATTACCCCGCTTGGAGCTTCAGGGTACTTCTCCAATCATAAGTCTACTTATAACCTACTTAGGGGACGTAGGGGGCTTAAAGTTACAATTGGGGCTAGAAGTACCCTGAACCTCTAAGTGGGTCACTTAGGAACCCAGCGTTTCAGCCTGGGCCAGCAGGTTTTGGTCTTCGACCACATCGCCCGCAACGGAGCCCGCTATGCTGAGGAGCAGAAAACCGGCGAAGCCACGCATCTTGACTGGAAAATGTGGAAGGTGGCCTTCCCTTTTGGCTTCTAGGATGCCCAGTAGTGCCCTTATTCCCTTTTTGGGGGCTCTAGGTTCCCCTATAAAACCCCTTTAAGCAAAAAAGGGCACCCTTTTTCGTCCTAGGTTACTGGGCAACCTAGGCTTAGTTGTAGAGTAGGTGACCTCTCACCCTTTCAGGGTAATAAAATCCCCTTCTAATCCCAAAGGTTAACCTTGAAGTTCCCCTAGGAAATTACTGGAACACTAGGTTGGGGGTTTCCAAAAATAGGGGTACCCTTTTGGGGGGGTTCCTATGATCAGGATTATCGCATTTTGGGGTATACTAGACAACCCCTTATTTGGGAAGTAGCCATTCTTGTTTCTAGGGCTTTATCGGGTTTAAGATTTGCTGAATTCATTCCCGTCAGTCCGTGGTGGTTTTGTGAGAGTTGTTCAGTAGTTTGCCCACCCCAGGCGCCCAGCAAAAGTGCATTCGCAAAAGAAGGAGCCACCTCCCTGTGACCAAAAGTCCCACCCTCAGAAGCAGGCGTGGAGAGGGTAGAAGGGGGACCAAAAACCCTTCCTTCACCATGCAAAGCCCTCTTGAATCAAAACCTGCCCAACCGACAGCCCCCAATTCCGATACCGTGTTCAGGACATAGGGCTTGAGCCCTAAACCCGAAACGCAAATTAAGCCCTAAACCCTAAACCCTTGGGCTAGAGGCTGCAGATATTTCTCGAACACTCTCAAGTTCGGGTGGGGCTTGACGATTCCAGGGCGACGAGCGACTTGCAGAAGAAGCACCAAGTCTATTCCTGTTCATACCATGTGCTGTGGGATGTTCACCCTTATACTCGCAGTCCTGATAAGGGATTACAGCATCCCCCAACTACAATCCCTCTGAAGGACTGTTAGTATAAGGGGGAACATCCCAACATGCACTCTTGAAGCTTCAACCCTATGCCTATGCTCAGGAAGATGTTGTCTTCGTCGTATGCCTTTGCTGTTCATGGCGACTACACCGTGCGATCAGGCACCTGTGGGCAGGGTACTCACGGAAAGTACTGAACCCTAAACCCTAAACCCTAAGCCCTAAACCCTAAACCCTGCTAAACCCTAGGACCCAGACTAGGCCCTTCTTCCTCCTCTTTGTTGAGGTTCCCTTGCAATCCCCTGTAAACCAAAGAAAGGGCATCCTTTTTATTCCTAAAGGTTCCTTTTGGGCTAAACCCTAAACCCTAAACCCTAAACCCTAAACCCTAAACCCTAAACCCTAAACCCTAGACCCTTTATGTGTTGAGGCACACCGCATGGATATGGGTATTTCCCCAAAAAAGGGTACCCTTTTTATGCCCCAAACAGACCAGCATCCCCCTAAAGGGATCCCCCAAAACGGGCACCCCCTCATTTTCGGAACCCTAAACCCTAAACCCTAAACCCTAAACCCTAAACCCTAAACCCTAAACCCTAAACCCTAAACCCTAAACCCTAAACCCTAGGATTTTTCGGAACCACCCCCCCCCCCCCCCCGCGCAACGCATGTCGACTCCGGAGGCTTCAGCCGCGCGAGATCCCTGCTGGAGCCACACGAAGCTGGGGGCCGAATTGAGGCCAAAGTGCCCCCCGTGATTCAGGGTCTTGGGGTTTTAGGGTTTAGGGTTTAGGGTTTAGGGTTTGAGTTTAAGTTTTAGGTTTAGGGTTTAGGGTTTAGGGTTAAGGGTTAAGGGTTAAGGGTTAAGGGTTTAGAACTGGAGGGTTTAGGTTTCAGGTTTCGCGATGCGGAGCGGCGCAAGTCTGAAAAAGTGCAAGGGACCCAGGCAGGAGAGCACGGCACACGCGCGGGACCCAGACGAGAGTTTGATCTATACCGCCCCCGCACAAGGCCTGCACGTGCGATGACAATGATGTTATGGGGGTTTAGGGTTAAAAGGTTTAGGGTTCAGGGTTTAGAGTTTAGGGAACCCCCAAGAACTCCGCACCTGTGCGCCTTGGCGAGAGCGAGATTTGGTCAAGAATTTGAGCAAACTTCGTCCGGCCGCGGCAATCGACACCCTGCTTCCCTTGACGTTGGAGCCCTATAGCCTTGGCACGCTGTTTGGAGCATACGGCAGGAGCCGAAGTAGACATTCAGAACATCCTCAAAAAACTCCCATCTACTTGTACGTCTCAAAACCCTTATGTACTTCTATGTACAATGTATGGTGCCCCAAATACCAACTTAATTCAACAGGCCTCAGTATGGTGCTCCAGGGGTTGAGGGCTTGGGAGTTAGGGCCTATCTACGTGAGATGAGGGCTTGGGGACATGTTGGCTTTGGGGTTTAGGGTTTAGGGTTTAGGGTTTAGGGTTAGCCTGAGTGAGAGATATGCAGGCCGCCATCCAGCAACGCTTCGCGTTTGTCAACGTGTGGGTGCCGCTGAAGAAGGTGCTCCAGGGTTTAGGGTTTAGGGTTTAGGGGTTTGGGGTTTGGGGTTTGGGGTTTAGGGCTCCATGCCGGGCGTTTCCCAACAAGGAGTACTTGGAGGTTCATGGTACTTCTAGCCAATTCTATCTGAACTTATAGCCCACTTACAAGCCCCTTAAGTGCCCTAAGCTGGATATAAGTACGGTTAAAAGTACAGTTATAACTGGTTAAAAAGCACCATGTCAGGACCGTGATGTCATGTGAGGTTTCTCGATAAAGCTTGTGTTGCAGGACTGACATACCAAACCGCAGGGTTTGGGCTCTGCAGATCAAAAGAAGAGCCTTGCTGGCTACGGGTGGAGTGTTAGGCCCTGTGGGGCCCCCTTTCATTGACAGAGGACTGTGCCTCGTTCATGGTAGCGGGAGCTCCTGGCCCTCCCGAGCATCCGCTTTTGTGATCCTTCTTGATCTTCTTGCGGGCGCGGCTGCAGGCGGCTAGTGGCGCGGCGTGGGGCGGCTTGCTGTGGCTGGCTCACACTACTTTGTCATCTACCACGATTACCTGTGTGCTTGGTGATCCGTGAGGTGGCTTGGTGAAGGCTAGGCATGGCCCAGCAGGGGTATCAGTCGGATGTCCCAAGCTGGAATGGCGATCCCACGACCTACGAGACCTTTGAAACAGCCTGCAAATGGTATGCCCTGACTTTGAGAGACAACGAGCGGAAAGGAGCAGCAGCCCGGGTGTGGTCGAGGCTAACGGGCCCTGCAAAATCAGTAGTGAAGCACCTCGACCCACAGATGTTCTTCGCAGAGGACGGGCTGAGCAAACTCCTGGCCATTCTCAGACAGTCTCCCCTTCAAACTCTTCCCATACCCGACTCGTTTTCGAAGCTGGAGAGGTGGTCGCATCTCCGTCGACGTGAAGGGGAGACAGTGGCCGAATTGCTGGTGAGGGAAGATGAGCTCTTCTTGGAGCTACAGCAGTCGCTGGCCAGATCCAGGGCGAGAACAACTGGTGGTGCGGCAGAACCAACTCCGATAGTGACAACACCGAAAGCCAAAACAACTGTCCAGGAAGAAGATGACATGGGCGACCTGCGCGACTTCGCTGCCACTCCAAAGGCGGGGTCCCCGAAGAAAAGTCAGTCACCGGAGAAGTCGGGTGACGACGCAACTTCAGCCAGTGCTTTGTCGACAACTAACTACTTCGAAGACGAGCTTCGTGGATATCGTCTGTTGAAATCGGCGGGCATCAATGGTTCTGAAAGGCAACAAGTGCTCACTCTAACAGGAAACAAGGTGAACTTTCAGGAGATCCGTCAGGCGCTCCGGGCGCTGTTCGAAGACGGAAGTGAGGCGCGCAATCGACCTCGTCACGCCCGAGCCTGGTGGGTTGATGAGAGCGAGCCAGAAGCCTACTACCAGGACGGCTACGAGACCTACGCAATGGAGTATGATGACACCTGGGACGGCGACAACATCTACTGGGGCTCTGCTGGATGGGAAGACTATGGCGACACCGGTGGCTACGACGAGTACTACGGTGACGCCGGCAACTTCTATGAGGAGGAGTACCAGGAGGAGCCGTTCGAGTGCACCGAGGAGGAAGCCAACTTGATGAAGCAAGAAGGCGAGGCCATGGCTCTGGCCGCTGAAGCGAACAGAACTTTGACGGAAGCGCGAGCAGCCGTGGCCAAGGTCAGAGCGAGCCGTGGGTACTACCCACTTGGCGGAAAAGGAGGTGGCAGTGGCAAAGGCGGTGCGAGTCTTGGACGTGGCAAGGGACCAAAAGGGTCCAACTGTCTCCTATGTGGGAGGCCTGGACACTTCTTTCGCGACTGTCCTCTTCGCTTTGGTCAAGGAAAAGGTCCTGGTTCTCCTTCAAGTTCCTTGAGTTCCAAGAATGGAAAAGGAAAAGGAAAAGCAAAGAAAGGCAAGGGAGGCTACAAGGCGCACTACACCACCGGCAACTTCATGCTTCAGAGCCTGAGCATTTTGCACTCTGGTGACTTCGGCAAGCATGAGTGCCCCAAATTCGTCCTCGATACAGGGGCAACCGAGAATGCGGCTGGAGTTCGAACCATCCAGGCCCTGGTCGACCACATGAAGGTGGAACCCCAGATTGACTTGGCCGACCGTCCGACCTTCAAGTTTGGCGATGGACTGGTCTTGCAAGCAAAATCCCGGGTGGACCTCCGAGACACAGCGTTAGGAGATGTCTCGTTCTACGTCCTGGATGGCGACGCCAGGGTGTCCACGCATAAGGCCGAGGACACTCCCCTGCTCATTGGAAGCAGGTTTCTCCATGACCGTCAGGCCATCATCAGCTACCAGAACTTGCTGTTGTTCCTGAAGGGCGAGCGCGGCGAGATTCTGGCAGCGCACATGAACAGATCGACGTCTGGGCATCTGTGCTTGGATGCCACTGCTCCCCCAACAGATCTCAAGAACATGAAGGCGAAGCTCGAGGAAGCATATCAGGTGGAGCTGCCGTCTGATGCGCAGCAGCTTCTTAGTGTGCTGACCTCGCCTGGAGCTCTTGAAGAGAATCTCCGGCGCCAGGGCCGGGGAGCTGAGGACGAAGACTCCGTCAAAAGCGTGAGCCAAGAGAGAACAGCTGAGAGATCCAGATCCCCAAGGTCCAGAAAGCAGGATTCAGTGAAAGAATACATTGAGGAAGTGAAGCAGAAGACGAGAGTGGAGGAGGGAGCCAAGTTCACAAAGATGAGCGGTCGAGAACCAACAGAAGAAGAGCTTGACCTCTTTGTTCGGATGAAGCTTCTCGTCCCGACTCCTCGTGACTTGGTTGAACAGTTCTCCATGAATGGTCCCATGTATTTGTGTCGCACGCCGCACGTCGAGATCGATTTTTACAAACGTTTTTTTTACTTCTTCGGCTTCCTCCCCTCGTCCGACCTTGCCGATCGAACTCTCGAACTTGCTCGTGAAGTCAGTGTTCATGCTGAAGATTTTCTCCAAAGCTTAGGAAAGCCTCCAAAAGAAGAAGAACATGAAGCCATTGGAAGGGCCAGTCATGATCCGAGCAGCGTTGAGCATTCTGTTTTGATGATTCAGCATGAGACAATTGCTGTGGCTGGAGATGCATGCTCCATGACCCGTCGGCTGGAACAGCTGAGATTGCGAATCCTTAGCTTTCAGTGCGCCTCTCTGACGCATGACTTCCAAGCCTCCAGCGCCAGTCGACGACCCGCGCCAAGACGGGTGGCCATGTTGGAGCAAGCACGTGCAGAGCCCCCAAAGGGGCAACCAATGGGGCAAATGGAAGGACTGTCTTCGCTGCGGGCTGCGACTCGAGTATGTGGCAACCAAGGGCGAAGGCAAGCACAGGACTGCGGGCCCCGATATGCACATCATCCTCCAAGCGTTGCACGAGCTCCAGGGCGAGATGGATGTGGAGTACATCAACGAGAATGCTGTGAAGGGCAAGATAATGGAAGTGCAAGGCCGCAGAATGATGGCAGGAGAGCGTGTTCGCGCCAAAGTGAACATGGAGTCCAACCGGCGCTACGTCTGGGAAGAGACAACTGGACCAACTGTGGCGCAGCGCTTGGCCAGCGCAAAGCCGAAGGCGAGGGCGAGCCCCAAGGCCATGACGTCGCCATCTACAAGGCCAATGCCATCAACGAGGACGCGGACTACGACGTCAGCGACATCTTCTACAATGCCTCAGACCGCAGTGCCGGAAGCGATCCAAGGGTATCCAGCCGAGGACCGCCAGACCGAGAAGAAGATGGCCAAGGCTCTCGAGATGAAAGACTCCGAGCTGGTGGCGGCCTCGGAGCAGGTGTTCTACCTGGAAGAGAAGCTGAAGAGCATGAAGGAGAAGCTGAAGGCGGCCAAGGAGGGACAGGACGTCAGCCCTTCGGAGTCGGAGGAGGACGAAGGCCTGCACGCGTGGAACGCTGGAGAAGATTGGGAGCAAGCCGATATGAGTCAGTCTGGGCGCGACTAGATGGCGTTCGGAAGGCCATCGGAAGCTACGTGAGTCAGCAGCCACGAGATGCTGAGACCTTGACCTCAGCCTCTGTGAAGTCCACTCTGGGTCCGATGAAAGGTGTGGAGCACCTGGACACTGGAGGAGTGGATTTGAGTGGCCTCCCGAAGCGAAAAGAAAGTATCACCTCGACTCTGAAAAAGCGAGTTGAAGGCAATGGTCGCAACTACATGGCAACCTTGCTCTGTACAGCAACCGTCCTTTTTGGACTCTTTCAGAATTCAGATTTCCTGGAGATCGGCACTAACCATTTTGGAAGTGCAGCCCAGAACGAGGGAATGCTCTATGAAAACATCTCTCAGTATGACAAGAAAATCCAGCAGGACTACCTCGAGAAGATCATTGACTCGACAAATCCATCGTTTCTATGGGCATCGTTACCATCGCACCGGCTGTGCTGGATTGACGTGGACAAGGCTAAGTGGTCTCCGTCAAGGTGGAGAAACTTCGAGCGACTTCGGCGAAAGGACCTACAGCATGCGGAGAAGTTAGCAGCGCAAGTAAATCGCCACTTGGATCGCGGTGGTCTCTTTGCTTGGGAATGGCAGGAAGATGCTGTCTTCGGATGGAAAAGTCCCGCAATGGAATCTGTGCGGAAAAAGGCAGCAGCTATGGACATGGACATCTACGAGTGCATTGTCGACAGCTGCCACTACCACCATGGGAAAGGAGAGCCATCCACTCGTCGCTGGAAGATCCTCACCAACTGCAAGCATCTCTACAGGCAAGTCGGAAGGAGAGTATGCCCAGGACATCGCAATCATGTGATCCCCGAAACTACTCGAGTTCCTTACCCGGAGAAGATGGTGAACCAGATGGCTGAAGCGATTCGATGGGATGTACAAGAACACCATGGTTCTCTCTTTCAAGCTCTCGAGCAGTATGCTTGTGAAGAGATGCCCTGTCAACCACATAGTCTTTGCGAGAACGGGCCCTCAGTGATGGCGTTGCAGCGAACAAAGATGCCGCTAGAAAAGCCAACGGGCAAGAAGCTAGAAGAGGTGAAGAGCCAGATGATGCGATTACACCGAGCCTCAGGCCATTCTAGCATGGAAGGCTTGGCACGACTCCTGAAAAGAAGGGGTTCCCCAGCATGGGCAGTGGAGATGGCCAAAGAACTCCAATGTCCTGACTGCTTGGAAGAGAAGAAGATTGGGCCTCCGCCGCCGAGTTCATTGGAAGAGCCTCCGGCCCTATGGGAGACCCTTGGCATGGACGTGTTTGAGTATGAGTACGTGGACCAAGAAACCAACGTGCGCATGAAGGCAAAGCTCCTGTTGATGATCGACCGGGCGTCGCGTTTCTGTCAGACGAGGTTGCTAAAGACGTACCCGGCGGCAGAGGCGTGGGAGCCCACGTCTGAAATCATCAAGGAGTCCATCGTGAAGAGTTGGTTGGCGGTTAACCCCGCGCCATTATGGGTCATCACCGATGCCGCGCGTTACTTCACATCGGCCGAGTTCTGTGAATTCCTCGGCAGGTCTGGAGTAGGCTTCATGGTGGCGCCAGCGGAAGCCCATTGGCTTCTTGGCGTTGAGGAGCGGTGTGTGCAAACCCTCAAACGCACCGTGGGGAGACTTGAGCGCGAGGAGAATGGGCTTGACTTGGAAGGCCTCTTCGCTCTGGCGTGCCACGGCCACAACACCCATGTGCATCCCTCATCTGGATACAGTCCATACCAATGGGCGCGAGGCTTTGCGCCGTCTGATGGTCAGCGAGATGTGGACCCCAAGAAGGCGTTCAACAAGGTGTTTGTGCAGCGCGAGAAGGCCGAGCAGGCTTATCGCCGTGCTGAGGCAGCCGAGCGGCTGTCACGGCTGAACAACACTGTGAGCCGCCGGAGCACCATATTCAAAGCCGGCGACCTCCTGATGTTATGGCGACAGCGGCTTCGAAGCGGAAAAGGTGGATGGACTGGTCCACTGCGCCTCTTGATTCAGGAAGGGACAACCGTGTGGCTGGCTACAGGCGCGACGCTCATTCGTGCAAAGACCAACCAGGTACGTGTGTGCTCAGCGCGGGAAGAGGCCGTGAGCTCAATGCAAGGCCTGACTGTGCTGCGCAACCCGGCAAGTTTGAGTTCTCTCCTTCGGGGCTACCAGGGGCGCAACTATGTGGATGCCTCTCAGGAGAGCCCTGGGCCAGGCATAGAAGAGGACCTGGCTCCTGCCGAAGTACGCCAAGAACCAGCTCCCGAGCGACGACGACCTGCTGTGCGCGATAAGTGGGAAGTAAGAGAAAGTGCTCTCGTTCGTGTGCACGGGACGCCAAGACTGACCTTGTTCACTCCGGACAAGACACAGGAGTGTCCAAAAGCAGAATGGGAGCTCACTGGAAAACGAAGAACCATCATCCAGATTGGCAGCAACCGGCAGGTGATCGAGGACAACTACAAAGTCGATGACAGGCCCAATCGGGGCCTACTGGAGCGATGGACCGGTGAGACGCACTTCGAGCTGAAGCAGAAGAAGAAGGCTGAAGATGATGAGGCATCAAAGCCGATCTCCAAGATTCCGAAGAAGGAGGAGAAGGCAAGCTCAAGCGCTGGTTCAGTGGTGAAGAAAGGCCAGCTTCCAAGTGGAGCAGCTGTGGGGCCGGCGCCAGTGACGCCAGGCGTGGTTCCAGGGACACCGGTGCCACCTGTGTCCAATGTTGCCTTGCCACCGGAGCTGGAGGAGGAAGCGGTCAAATCAGCTGTGTACGAGTCTTCTTCTTCATCCTCGAGTTCTTCGAGTGAGGAGCTGGTGCCAGATCATAAGAAGGAGCGGAAGAGGAAGGCCGAAGGCGAGGCCGAGAGACCGCCCAAGGATGCCCTGGCAGTCATGTGCTCCATCGAAGTGAAGGAGAAAGATTTGAAGAAGCTGGTGACGAGGCCAAAGAAAGCCGGAGTCTGGCTTTCGCAACGAATGATGGAAAAGAGCAGAGAAGTTAGTTGGAGAACGTTGGACCAAGCCCAGAAAGAAGAGTTTGATGAAGCTCAATCGATTGAGCTGAGCAATGTGATTTCAAGTGCTGCTGTTCGTGCACTGTCCAAGGCCGAGCTCGCCAACGTGGACTACGCCAAAGTGATGCAGATGCGCTGGGTCTTAACCTACAAGGCCACCGGAAAGGCAAAAGCGAGGTTAGTCGTGTTGGGGTATCAAGCCCACAATCTTACAAGTGTTGAGACGACGGCTCCGACTTTGTCAAGGGCTGGAAAGCATGTCTTGTTGACCTGCGCGGCTAACGCAGGCTTTTGTTTGGAGTCCGGAGACGTGACCTCGGCGTTCTTGCAGACCGTGGGCAGCTTGGAGAGTGAGGAGCTCTACATATGGGCGCCAGCCGAATTAGCGGCTGCTTTTGGCTTGCCTCCAGATGATGGTTCCATCATGAAGCTCACCAAAGCGTTCTATGGGCTTGCTCACGCGCCAAGAAGATGGTTCGAAAGCGTCGTGAAGGCCATGGAGGAATATGGATGGCGCCAATCGATCAGTGATCGTTGCCTCTTCATGCTGTTCGACGATCTGGGCCAGCTTCAAGCAGTGGCAGGACTTCACGTCGACGATTTTCTAATCGCCGGCAATCCAGCAAACGAGTTCTACCTCAAGGCGAAGCTCCACCTTCAGAAGCAGTTTAAGTTCGGCAAATGGGACAGCCAAGAGTTCGAGTTCGCAGGCTGCCGGATTCGACAAAGTGCTGAAGGCATATTCCTGGACCAGGAGGACTACGTGAACAAATGGCTCAGCGACATCGAGATTCCAAAGGCTCGGGCCAATGCTCCAAAAGCACATCTTACGCCGTCTGAGATATCCAGCGTCCGAGCAGCGCTCGGGACACTGGCGTGGAAAGCTTCACAGTCCGGCTTACACCATCAGGCGGAGGTTTCTTTGTTCCTCTCCGAGATCCCGACGGCGACCGTGCAGACCATGATCAACATCAACAAGCTGATCCGCGAGGTCAGGAAAGAGGCCAAGCAAGGACTCTGGTTTCCTGCGTGGGGCAAGGACTGGAGAGACATAGCTGCTGTAGTCTGGGCCGACGCGAGCCAGAGCAACAGGCCAAATAAGTCTAGCACCGTTGGCTACGTTGGAGGTTTCGCCCCTCGAAGCATCATGGATGGCACCGAGGAGAAGGTCGCAGTCGTTGCGTGGAAATCTGGCAAGGCTCCTCGCGAGAGCCTTGGATCCAATGGGAGTGAAGTCCAAGCAATCACGATGGGTGAGGACATGGTCTTCCTTCTTCGCGCCATGTGGTTGGAGGTCCATGGGGGGCGGCTTCTTCGTGGATCCATGGAGACTGAGATTCGCGAGAACACCCATGGCTGTCTCGTCATGGACTCCCGCGGCGTTTACGATGCGGCTACCAGAAACCTGTCAGCTTTACATGGGCTGCGGTCCTCCCGAGCCGGCTATGAGCTCACCGTCTCCGTGCAACAGGCTCAGAAGCTTGGAACATGCTTCAGATGGGTCAATGGCTTGTCCCAGCTGGCTGATGGGATGACGAAAGCGGGGGCCAAAAAGGGCTTCCTTCACTTTTTTCTCAATGAACAGCGATGGTCGATCGTCTATGATGCTACCTTCACCGCCGGTCGAAAGATCCACCAGGCCCAGCTAAAGAAGCAGCTTGCTGAGAGAGAGAGAATGTTTGTACTTGCCATTCAAGACTTGGCAAGAGAGGGCAATTATCCATGGGCACCGATTGAAGATCAGTCGGCCGATCTTGATGCGAGTTTGTTGAGAAACCTCAGGGAAATGGTATTGATGTCAGGACCGTGATGTCATGTGAGGTTTCTCGATAAAGCTTGTGTTGCAGGACTGACATACCAAACCGCAGGGTTTGGGCTCTGCAGATCAAAAGAAGAGCCTTGCTGGCTACGGGTGGAGTGTTAGGCCCTGTGGGGCCCCCTTTCATTGACAGAGGACTGTGCCTCGTTCACACCACGAACCTCCAAGTACCCCCTTTTTCTTCCCCCCAAACGTGGCAGAGTCATTTTCTTAGAAAGGGATGTGCGCAGAGACCATAAGGGCTCTAACATTCTGGCTGCTTAACACCCTAAACCCTAAACCCTAAACCCTAAGCCCCTAAAAACCCTAAAAGCCCTAACATTCACCCAAGGTTGAAGACCGAGTAGCGAAGCCCAAGGCCGAGATTCCTGGACTACCCTCAATACCTGCGCTTTGACACATTAGCCCCTGCATCAAACGAGCAAACAACCAACTTAGTGCGTTGTGTAATATACATATACATACATATATATATATATATAATATACATATGTCAATGTATATACACATGTATGGGAGAGAGTGTGTGTTCTATATATATATATATGTACATATATGTATGCTTGTGGGTTTGATTTTTTTGCATGCACTTGTCCATGTGCATGATGTAGGACTCTGTAGGCCAACCGAACGGAGGCCCAAGGAAACACAAGGTACATCAACGCCCTTGGCCCGAAACCCTAAACCCTCAACCCTAAACCCTCAACCCTAAACCCTAAACCCTAAACCCAAAACCCTAAACCCGCATCAGGTTGAGCGCGACCCGCTCGGCCTGATTGAGTGGAGCAGCCAGCGGCCTCAAGACGTCGTCTCCATCAAGTCCCTCGGGTTTGGGGTTTAGGGTTTAGGGTTTATGGTTTAGGGTTTAGGGTTTAGGGACCGAAGGCACTGCATAGACTTTGGGGGTTTCGAACGTGACCGGCTAGAAGGAGAAGGACATAAGCCTTAAACTCTAGATTTCGACACACACACAAGGCCTGCACAAGTTAGGGGTAGGTTTGAACATAATTCATAAATGTTACTCTCCTTAGTCCCCTCCACAAGCCTTACAAAGCCATAAAACTCTAAATTTTATAGAGCCCCGACAGCTACCCCGAAAATGCTGAGGTTCATCTACCCGCACCGGACTGGAGAGATCTACCGCGTGCTGCCGTCGGACCACCACAGGCCGCTGACAGATTGGATTCAGAGATCGCCTGAAGCCCCTCCACTTGCGATGTTCCCCCTTCTACTAACATTAGGGTTTAGGGTTTAGGGCTTAATCAGGGTTATCGTAAAATAGGGTACTACAATCGCGATTAAAGACTGCTAGTATTGGGGGGAGCATCCCAACCCTCCACCATCCTAGACCTATACGAACGAATGGTCGGTTGGCTTGCGTAAAAGAAGAAATTCTTGAAGATCCCTCAGTTCCAAGGAATACGGTCGAAGGACCCCCCCGGACAAGACCCTAAACCCTAAACCCTCAAACCACAAGACCCTCAAACCCTACACACCCCTAACAAGCTCAACAAAAACCATAAAGAGCCCTACGAAACCCATAAAAAGACCTAACAAGAGCTGAAAAAGCCTAAACACCCTTTAAAAGCAGCCCAACACACCCTCAACAGCCCAGAAAGCTCAGAAGAATCGAGGAGGGACCCCCCCCAACGCTTTTTTGGATTCAGGGTTTAGGGTTTGGGGTGCCTTACCAGGTGGGTTTACTACCCAGACATGGCGCCGGGCGAGTGCCTGGTATTCAAGGCCGGTGGAGGGATAAAGGGCTCAAGAGGTCAGAGGGGTTTAGGGTTTAGGCTTGAAGGGTAGACTGAACTTGGTCATAGTTGGGTAACATTCTAAATTTTTAAGGGTACTTAAACTCAATAAGGAATAGAGTTTTTTCATTTCTAAGGCAGTCCCAACCATGAACTAGTGAAGGGCTAAAAAAAGAAGAAGGGTTTTCAGCGCATCCCCGCCGATGGAAAAGCGCCACTTGTCTCTCAGAACCCTGCTTGAAGGTTCATGCGTACTTCTACTCCAAAGTAGGGGGTAGAAGTACCCGAACACAAAGTTAGAGCCATACTTGCCCTACTTGGTGAGCTTTACGCTTTACGCCCTGAAAGTCTACGGAGGTCCTAAGATGAGCTCAGCACCCCACAGCCCTTAGGGTTCAGGGAATTTAGGGTTTAGGGCAAATCTGAAACTTAGGGCCTTAGGGCATAAGCCCTTCTGAATCTGAAACCTGGGCCTTCCGGGCTTAAAACCTAAACCCTAAACACAAGACCCTAAACCCTAAACACAAGACCCTAAACCCTAGACCCTAAACCCTAAACCTTGGATCACAGGTCTTTGACTCAGCCACGGACGGGCGTGCGCGATTCTCCTTGCACGCGGCCTTCGAGGAGAAGGGATGTTGTTTAGGGTTGAGGGTTTCGGGTTTTAGGGTTCTAGGGTTCTAGGGCTTAGGGTTTAGGGTTTAGGATCTTGTGTTTAGGGTTTAGGGTTTAGGTTGAGTGTTAAGGGTTTACGAGAAGGGATCTTAGGGATTCTAGGGGATTACAAGAAGGGTATCTTAGGTTATACGTCCCCTCCTTGTAAGGTTCAGGGGGCCAAGAATTTTCCAAAGATTGAGGTTTCGTGATTTCGGAGAATTGCGGGTTCTGCAGTTTGAGATTCTTGGGGGGGGGGGGGGGATCGGGTTTCTAAGGGGACATGAGACGATGGGGGTGGATCCACGGCATCACGCTCCTGAGTGCGGCTCGAGACTAGGCCGTGACTAGGCAATGCAGCTTGCAGCATCCCTTTCAGGTCATAGGCGAGAGTATCACTACCGGAGTTCTTTTTTTTTTTTTTGTTTTCTGCCTGTCTGCCGCCATGGCCATTTCAGCGAGTGGGCTCGGGACGCTCCTCTTCCTGATCTTCATCGGCCCTGTATCTCGGCTCAAAGTGTGCACCAGGATAGCCTCGCCCGGTTCTTCGCTGAGATTGGTTCAGGGTTCAGGGTTCAGGGTTCAGGGTTTAGGGTTTAGGGTTTAGGGGTTTAGGGTTTAGGGGTTTAGGGGTTTCGGGGTTTAGGGGTTTAGGGGTTTAGGGGTTTAGGGGTTGAGGGGTTGGTTGAGGGGTTTAGGGGTTTAGGGGTTAGGGGTGAGGGGTTAGGGTATTCCTTGACCACCTAGGTGATCTACCTCGCACGTTACATCATCAACAGGCATGTGCTCCACAAGCGTGCGGCCGAACAGGCGCTGGTTGTGAAATGTGCCGAGCATCGGAATAGTTCGAGGTTCTGGTCTGTGTTGGCTGTGTGGTGTTAGTCGTGCTCGAGGGGGGAGGGGTATAAGTACCCTGAACCTCCAAGTTTGGGGTCAAAATCTACAGGACTCAGAGTGTTTGTGTTCACAGTAGTCTGCAGAAGTTTTCTGAAGGTGGCGTCCGAAGAATGGCGTTGTTTCTGTGATGTTTGGAGTTTGCGTTGGCTTTTCTCACGGGGGCTGGTCTTCGTCGGCAAATCGAAAATACCATCACTTAAAGAGGGCACCAGGTAAGCCCGAAACCTAAGCCCCAAGGCTCCCCAACCATCACGAAGCCCCGCAACCCTAAACCCTACTAACCCCCTCCCCCCCCCCCCAAGTACGCATCCCTCGGGGCACAGAAACCCTGGTGGCTTGGGTCTTCAGGGTTCAGGGTCTCGCAGGTGAGCAAAGGAGACGATGGAAAAGAGCACATGAGCAGCATGGCCTACATCTTCTCCCTGCTGGGCTATGCCATCGGCATTGGCAATGTATGGCGCTTCCCTTATGTCATTAGCCAAAACGGAGGTGCCGCCGCTGTCATTGCCTACCTCACCTGCGCCATTCTCGTGGCATGGCCTCTCTTCATCTATGAGATGATCTTGGGACAGTACCCTGGTAGAGTAGGTAACCTTCACCTTCTTGGGGTAGTATAATCCCCTTATACTCCCAAAGGTCAACCGTTAATTCCCCCAGGTAACTGGACAACTAAGGTACTTGCGGAAAACCTTTGTGGAGACGTGGATTCACATCCGTCCTCGGTGGGCTTCCTTCGCGTGGGCTCAATTTCTCCTGCTCTTCATTGCCCAGACATACTTCTCTGTCGTCATCACCTACACCTTACCCTACATTGCGGCAAGTTGTGACCGAGTAGTAGAGCAGGTAACCTTTTACTTTTTTGGGGTACTTAGAATCCCCTTAGAATCCCAAAGGTTACTAGAGTAGGTGACCTTCTAACCTTTTTGGGGGTCATAGCGACTAGAATCCTCTAGAATCCCAAGGGTCCACCTTGAATTCCCCCAGGTTTCTTTTTGGGGGCTAGTAAAATCCCCCTCGTAATCCCAAAGGTTCACCTTGAATTCCCCCAGGGTAGTGGTTAACTAAGGTGAAGAACCGCTGCCTTGGACCGAAACTTCAGCCTCGGAGTCCCTTGCGGGGCTTGGGGCTTAGGGCTTGGGGCTCAGGGTTTAGGGTTTAGGGTTTAGGGTTTAGGGTTTAGGGTTTAGGGCTTAGGGCGTAGATTTTTGGTGTGGGAGCTGTGTGTTTCAGGCCTAGGGTCGCCCAGACAGGGCTTAGGGTCCATAGACCCTAAGCTACTAAACCCTAAACCCTAAACCCTAAACCCTAAACCCTAAACCCTGATACGATCCCCGAGTTTGGGAGCTGGGTCTTAAGGTTCTGGTCCCAGACCATTCTGAACAGCTTTCCGGATCTCAACAGCAACTCACTTGGCCAAGAATAGAACTTTAAACTTCTTGAGTTTCCTTATATAGCAGGAAGAATAAAGTATAGAACTTTAAACTTCTTGGGTTTCCTTATATAGCAGGAAGGATAGAGTTTACAACCCTTTCTTTCCCCCCCTGGGCTATTGGAGAAGCAAGGCAAGCCTCCTGGCTTCGGGCCAATCCAGTGGCGCTTGGCCCTTTCTTTGGTGGTCTTTTGGTTGATCACCTACCTTTGCGTCGCCTTCGGCAAGAACATCCTTGCTCAGATCACTTACGTCACGGTGATCATGCCGGTAGTGCTGATGGTGATTCTCGTACCTAGGGCCTCCATTTACCTACGATTTTGGGGGATGGGGTCACTTCGAAGGCCTAAACCCTAAACCCTAAACCCGAATTTAGGGCGTTCTAACGTACAAATCTGTAGGGCTTGTGGGGAGATCACAGGTCGTGGTCACGACGCAGCAAGAGGGTGCCATCGATGGGATTCAGTATCTTAGTAGCTGAGTGAGCACACTTTACACTTTTTGGGTACTATAATTCCCTATTGAACTGAAAGCTTACACTTGTTTGGGGCTTATGAACTCAGCAACAAAGTAGAGTAGGTAACCTTTAGCCTTTTTGGGGTAGTAGAATCCCCTTATAGTCCTGAAGGTTAACCATTAGTTCCCCTGGGTACTGGACAACTAGGAGTTTGCATGAACCATCACTTGTTCAACCCTAAGCCCTAAACCCTAAACCCTAAACCCTAAACCCTAAACCCTAAACCCAAACCCTAAACCCTAAACCCTAAGGTACTACATCGGCAAGTTCGAAGTGGCCCAACTCGCACGACTGGATGTATGGGCCACGGCATCTGGGGCATGACTTGGTTGTCTCTTTTGGAAGTAGAGTTTAGGGTTTAGGGTTTAGGGTCTAGAGTTTAGGGTTTAGGGTCTAGGGTCTAGGGTCTAGGGTCTGGGGTTTGGGGTTTGGGGTTTGGGGTTTGGGGTTTGGCTAAGGCTCTACGGCCTCTCATTTCAGGGTTTTTCGGGCCAACGGCCTTCTTACGTAAAGTCTTTGGGCTATCTTGAGCCTGAGCCACCTCTAATAAACCCTCGAGGCCATGAATCGGCGATGAACGTTGATGTGTAAAGGCCCCCGCACTATCCGCCCACGCCCCCCCCCAGGCATTGTCGCAGATCCTGTTCAGTCTATCCCCTGGCTTTGGGACGGCCATCACCTACTCCAGCTTCGTCAAGCCGAAGGAGGACGTTTACCGTGCAGGGCTCATTGTCGCCGCATCCAACTCCGCATTCTCGCTTCTGGGTGGCTGGGTCGCCATGACTTCTAATTTTTAAAGGTGTTTATTGTTGAGGTTTTTGGGTCTTCTTTGATTTGAGGTTTTTCTTTTTGGGTTGTAGGGGTTAAGGGTCCCCCTGCAAATGGAAGACCATACCTCCCAGAGCTGACCATCTTCCCAAAAGAAGCCCAATACTCTCCTCAGTTAAGGAGCACGCCTTTCAGCCGAGATGGAACCCTTCATCTGAGCTCAGGTTTTCCCCTAACCCAGAATCCCAAGCCCTAAACCGCGTATGCTTGGTGGCCCTAGATTCTAAATCTCAAACCCTTCAGGCCCTTTGGGACGTGGGACCCTAGTCTCCCTAAATCTGAAAACCCTTAACCCAAAACCTAAAAACTTTAAACCCTAAAACTATAAACCCAAAAACCCTAACCCACAAAAAACCCTAAAACCCTAAACTCCCTAAACCAAGAAAACCCTCAACCCCAAACCCTAAACCCCAAACCCTAGAACCCTTTCAACCCTACTTGGAGGTTCATGGTACTTATTAACCAATTCCAACTGTACTTGGAACTGTACTATAAACCATATTAGGGGACTTCGGGTGCTTATAAGTGGGTTATAAGTACAGCTATAACTGGTTTATAAGTACCATGAACCTCCAACTAGAACCCTAAACCCTAAAACCCTAAAGTCCCCGTATATACCCTGTACTAAGTAAGAGCCCGTACTTCAGAACCATTGTCAGGGAGGTAAGAGACCATGTTAAGGGCCCATATAACTAACCCCCCCCCAAAAAAAAAAAACTAAAGCCCTGAAACCCTAAAACCCTCAAACCCTAAAACCCTAAAACCCTAGAACCCTAGAACTAAAACCCTAGAACCCTAGAACCCTAAAACCCTAAAACCCTGAAACCCTAAACCTCAAACCCTCAAACCCTAAAACCCCAAAACCCTAACCCCTAAAACCCTAACTCCAAGAACCCTAAAACCCTAGCACCCTAAAACCTAAAACCCCTAACTCCTAGAACCCTAAAACCCTAACCCCTCCCCCCCCCAAAAAAAAAAAATAAAATAAAAAAAAAAACTACAGCAACCCTAAAACCCTCAACCCTAACCCCTAACTCCAAGAACCCTAAAACCCTAAAACCCCTAACTCCTAGAACCCTTAAAACCCTAAAAGCCCTAAAACCCCAAAACCCTGAAGCCCTAAAACCCTACAGCCTAAAACCCCAAACCCTAAACTCCAAGAACCCCTAAAATCCCTAAAACCCTAAAACCCCTAACTCCTAGAACCCTTAAAACCCTACAAGACCTAGGCGGCATCGCCGTCTTCTCCATGGTGGGCCACCTGGCTCGCGAGAAGGGGCTCCCCGTCGAGGCCGGGGCTGAGGGTCTTAGGGTGCTTAGGGTGTTTAGGGTCTTAGGGTGTTTAGGGTTTAGGGTCTTAGGGTCTTAGGGTCTTAGGGTGTTTAGGGTTTAGGGTCTTAGGGTCTTTAGGGTCTTAGGGTCTTTAGGGTTTTTAGGGTTTTGGGTTTAGGGTTTAGGGTTGAGGGGTGGGGGTTTGGGGTTTGGGGTTTGGGGTTTGGGGTTTGGGGTTTGGGGTTTGGGGTTTGGGGTTTGGGGTTTGGGGTTTGGGGTTTGGGGTTTAGGGTTTAGGGTTTGGGGTTTGGGGTTTGGGGTTTAGGGTTTAGGGTTTAGGGGTGGGGGTTTGGGGTTTAGGGTTTGGGGTTTGGGGGTTGAATTAATGTACTCCTCCAGGAGCGTGACGAACCCCTACTACAAGGATCTACAATGGAAGAACTTTACCCTGAAGTAGGTCAAGAGCCCTAACTTCAATCATTCGCACCGGGTCCTTGGGGATCCTTTGGCTTGTTTATGGCTTCAGAGTTTGGTGTTCCCGGGGGGGGGGGGGGGGGGGGGTTAAACTCCCCTGAACAATACAGCCCGAAACCCTAAACCCTTCAGCCTCAAGCCCTAAACCCTAAACTTTTACCCTGAATCCTAAACCCGAACCCTAAACCCTAAACCCCAAACCCTAAACCCCAAACCCCAAACCCCAAACCCCAAACCCTAAACCCTAGCCCAACTGCTGCTTTGAGGATGTGGCGACCAAGTCAGGAACGGGTCTGGCTTTCATCGTCATTTCTGAGGCCATCCCCCCCCCCCCCCCCACCCGCTCGCTTTGCTCTGTGTGTGGGAGGGGAAATCGGAGAATAGGGGAAATCTGGGAAGAACATGGAAATAACTACGGGAATAGTGTGGAAATAATACGGGAATAGTTTAGGAATGGCATCGGAAAATTATGGAAGGGCTTTGGGGGCTGAGGTTCAGGTTTTCAGGCTACAAGTTACAAGTATCAGAGGGAAGTCTGGTGGGCCAACGCGAGGCCATGACACTCTTCGGGGGCTTTCAAAACGTCATGTCGGTGCTCTTCTTTGTGATGCTCTTCACGCTCGGCCTTGACTGTTCCTTGGTAGTGGTACCCTTCACCCTTTTCTTTTTTGGGTTATGGGCTCCCTTAGAAAATGACCAACCCAAAAAAGGGTGCCCTTATTATGGTATGGTTTCTGGGCTACCCAGGTTCCTACGCATGGACAGAGACCATCGTCAGCTCCGTGGAGGAGTTTCTGGGGCGACATGGATACAAGCGGCCCCTTTGGCAAACGACTTTGCTGCTTTGCACCATCATGTGCTCGTTGCTTGCTAGCCCAGTGGTACCCTTTTCCCTTGTTTTGGGGTTCTGGGTTCCCTTATAAAGTAACCAACCAAAAAAAGGGTGCCCTTGTTATGAGATGGTTGCTGGGCTACTAAGGTTGGGATTGGTCTTCACAACGCGAATGGGAAACAACCTCCTGGATGTCATCGACATGTTTGTTGGAACCATCTTTCTCCTTGTTGTCGCTGGGTTACCTGTAGTGCCTTGTTTCCCCCCTTTTGTTCAGGCTTGGGATGGACACAAGTCTTATAACAACCTCATTCTCAGCAAAATGGACACCTTTTTGTTCCCCTACATTGCTGGCAGCCTAGGTATGCTGCATGGAGTCTATCATCTTAAACTGCGATGTCGGCTGGAAGCGCCTTGCGTGCTCGCTGAAGGCCGCAACAACCGGCAGCTAGACCCATACTGGCAAGTTTCGCTCCCTTGTGTAAGGGGTGCTTATTCCAACCAGCGGAAGCAGAAGGGAACGTTTGATTTTAGGGGCCTAAACCCTAACCCCTAAACCCTAAACCCTGAATAAACCCTAAGGGCCCATCCCCTGGATCCAACTCATATACCTACTTCGAGGTTCCCGGGTACCTGTAAGTAGCGTTACAAGTAGGGCAACGATGGTAACAACCTTGTCTAGGGTGCTTTTAATAACCCTCCGTATAAGTTTCCATGAACTCCAAGTAACCCTAAACGCTAAACCCACCTTTATTAATTCACCCCTAAACCCTAAAACCTAAACCCTAAACCCTAAACCCTGAACCCTAAACCCTAAACCCTAAACCCTAAAGCCTAAAGCCTAAAGCCCTAAACCCTAAACCCTAAACCCCGAACCTGGCGCGGCCTCAGGCAACAAGCACACTCCAGAGGGTCGGAATCTGTTCCCTCGATGCCTCTGTCGCATTGACTTGCACCTAACAGCTCCCGGCCATCAATTAGGGTTTAGGGTTTAGGGTTGAGGGTTGAGGGTTGAGGGTTTGGGGTTTGGGGTTTGGGGTTTGGGGTTTGGGGTTTGGATTTTAGGGTCAAGTTCGTTGTTTTGCTACTTTTAGGGTTTAAGGTCTCTTGGGGGGGCGCCTACGAAATCACAGACAGTTCCTGCTCTACTTGCAGGTAGTGTTTCCCGTCCTGGCAAAGATCCGCTTGGGTTTAGGGCGTAGGGTTTGGAAAGCAGGGCCAGTTCTCTTCCCTGACAGGTTCCGGCGGCGACAGGGCTGCTATGCCTCTATCAGATCATCCACGTGGCCCAGAAGACGCATCTTATCTAGATTCCATCTGGCACAAATCTGTCTGCTGTCTACCTAAGGCCTCAAAAACCCTACACCCAACAAAGGACGTTCGCCGGCCTGAACGCCCTCAGCCCTAAACCCTTAGGGTTTAGGAACCCTAAACCCGAGACCCTAAACCCTATACCCTAAACACTGGGTTGGTATCTGTGTATATACAGCCCTAAAGGTATGGCGGATACCCTAGCAGCCTCGTGGCTTGGGGATGGACGCTCTTAGCAACCTGCGTCGTTGTGATGTGCCTCACGATCTGGAAGCGTGACGCGGGGTCACTTCCCGCCGTGGAGGCCTTGCTTTAGGGTTTAGGGTTTAGGGTCTAGGGTCTAGGGTTTAGGGTTTAGGGTGGCCCAGAGGTACCCTGTTTCCCCTCTATTTTTTGGTTCAAGGTCTCCATATACAGTAACCAACCCCAAAAAGGGTGCCGTCATTATAGATGGTTACTGGGCTAGCAAGAGGCCGACCTGCGCTTCAAGGGCGTGGTTCAGCCGGATGAGGAGCCTGACTGAAAGCCCAAGCGCCACCTTCAACCCCGCAGCGAGCAATGTTGCAGGTCTTGCACCGGGTTTGGGAGTACTATGCTTTGATGCTTTTTTTGGGTTCTGGGTTCCTATGTATAGCTACTTATACCGAAAAGTGTATACGTCTGTCTTCTCCAAAGTAGGGTGCAGGTCTTGCATTGCTTAGCTGGCAGCCAAAGGATGGTGTTCGTATGTCTTCTTTCTGCTGCTTATTCCCTAAACCCTAAACCCTAAACCCCAAACCCTAAACCCTAAAACCCTAAACCCTAAACCATCGGAAAGACCGAAGAGGGGAGAGAGAGAGAGACAGCAACAAAAATAGAAAGAGAACCAAAGGAACCCGGTTACCCGTGGCCAAATCGTGCAGAACTGCAAATGCCCCATGTGCGTCATCGGTTGGTAGGATTCAGGTTTAGGGTTTAGGGTTTAGGGTATAGGGTTTAGGGTTTAGGGTTTAGGGTTTAGGGTTTAGGGTTTAGGGTTTAGGGTACAATCATGCGCAGGAGAGGAGCCTAGAGGAGCAGAGGTCGTGCTGAGCCGCCCAGTAGTTGCCGACCCAGACTCAGGATGATTGGCTGGGTAGGGTTTAGGGTTTAGGGATAGCGTTTGGGGTTTGGAGTCTAGCATTTAGAGTTTAGTTCGGGGGGGCGTTGATTGGAAGCCTAGTTGTACCCTACTTTTGCCCCCCAAGTCTGATTCAGCAGCTGTAACTACCATTCCTAGGACCGCTTATTTCTTTGTTTTTAGGGTTGGGGTTCCCTTACAGTCACCTTGAAAACAAAAAGGGGTGCCCGTTTAATTCCTAGGTGACTCCTGGGTCTAGATTCCAGAACAGGGATATCTTGCACATCCACTTTTCCGAATACGCTACCTTTAATTCGCGCCAGTTCCATGGCGCACAAGGCGTCTCACTGGTTGCTTCTGGGCTCAAGCGCTCATGATTTCAGAGGGTCCCTCAGGGAGGGGGGTTCATGTAAGGTTTAGGGTTGAGGGTACCTGGGGAACCTCAAAGAAGCTTCAAGAGACCCAGGGAGTAGGGGGGTGTATTAGGGAACTTTGGGTTACATACCCCCCTTACTCCCCCCCTCCCTTAAGCACCCTCTAATGACTGCACGTGTCGATTTAAATGTTCAGCTTCGCCGGTCCTTGCTACAGCGGTGACGACTGCCGCCCATGTGCCCACCAAGAAGTGTGCGGTTCCGCGCCTGTTCGGACGCCATCTTCTGGTGCGCATGCCTGAAACAGCACCACGTTGTAATCTCCATACCGAAAACCCTCGCCCGATTAAATTCCCGATGCTTCCTTACCAGTTCTGAGTAGGGTTTAGGGTTTATGGTGTATGAGGGTTGAGGGGTTAGGGTGTATCAGGGTTTCGGACTTAGAGCTCAGGGTTTATATGGGGGGTTTTGTATTTAGGGTTGCGGTTGTAGTTTAGGTACTTTCCTCTTTCCCCTCAGCCAAGCAACTCCCGAACTCCCTACAAAGAGCCCAAGCCCTGTAACCTGTCTGCACCCCATCAAAACCTTCCCCACCAAGAAACAAAGCAATAACAAAACCCGAAACCCTAAACCCTGAACAACCTTTCCCTGTAAACGCATGCGAAACGGGTGGGGAAAAACCAGAAAACACCCTAAACCCTAAACCCTAAACCCTAAACCCTAAACCCTAAACCCTAAACCCTAAACAACCGGAGGATCCCAATTGCCGGGCGGACGCGCCAAGCCGCGAAAGCATCGAGATGCGATGCGTGGTCTTCTTCGGCCCCTTGGTTTAAGGTTTTGGGTTTAGGGTTTAGGGTTTTAATTGCCATGAAGCAAATTAGGGGTTATAGGGTTTGGGGTTTAGGGTCTAGGGCTTTACCCTGAAGCAAGAATGGTTTCGCAAAAAGGGTTTTAGCCTGAAGCAAAAAGGGTTTAGGGTTTAGGGTTTCAAACCTTGAGTCCACAATGTCGCGCCCGAGGCGATTTGCCCAAGGACTTCGCCTCCTCCTTCGTTGCACCGCTGGGGGCCTTAGATGGGAACCTGAAATGGGAATCATAATCCAAACCCCGTACCCTAAACCCTAGGCCGCCTTCGCCGGGCCAGAGGCCGGCACCCCCTTAAATCAACTCCTCTCTTACAGCCGTTCTGCGGATTTCGATGCTGGAGGTAGTGTGGGTTTGTGCGTGTTATTACTAGTACTAGTACTAGTACTATTACTTTTACATTTACTTCTACTACTACTACTACTACTACTACTACTACTACTACTACTACTACTACTACTACTACTACTACTACTACTTCTTCTGCTACTACTACTACTACTACTACTACTTCTTCTTCTGCTACTACTACTACTACTACTACTACTACTACTACTACTACTGCTACTACTACTACTACTACTACTACTACTACTACTACTACTACTACTACTACTACTACTACTACTACTACTACTACTACTACTACTCCTGCTACTACTACTACTACTACTACTGCTACTACTACTACTACTACTACTACTACTACTACTACTACTACTACTACTACTACTACTACTACTACTACTACTAATACTACTACTACTACTACTACTACTACTACTACTACTACTACTACTACTACTACTACTACTACTACTACTACTACTACTACTACTACTACTACTACTACTACTATAATACTACTACTACTACTACTACTACTACTACTACTACTACTACTACTACTACTACTACTACTACTACTACTACTACTGCTACTGCTACTACTGCTACTACTGCTACTACTGCTACTACTGCTACTGCTACTACTGCTACTGCTACTGCTACTGCTACTGCTACTGCTACCGCTACTGCTACTGCTACCGCTACCGCTAGTGCTACTGCTACCGCTAGTGCTACTACTACGACAACTACGAGTACTACTACGACTCCTCCTCCTCCTCCTCCTCCTCCTCCTCCTCCTCCTCCTCCTCCTCCTCCTTCTTCTTCCTTCCTTTCTCCTACTTCTACTCCTGCTCCTGCTCCTGCTGCTGCAGCTGCTGCTGCAGCTCCTGCAGCAGCTGCCGCAGCTGCCGTTGCCGCTGTCTCGTTTCAAAGCCTAAACCCTTGATGCCCTAAGTCCTAGATTCAACCCGGAGACCGGCCAAAGCTCAGGCACCTCCTCCCTGGTACGGATTGCTGCCACTCACTTGCACCAAGAGGAGGGCAGCCAACACTGGGGGTTAGGGGTTTAGGGGTTCAGGGTTTATAGGATAGGACTTGTAGGGAAAAAGGGTTTACGATCCTGCTTCGAAGAGGGTTCGGGTTTAGGCTAAGAAACGAGGGCTGAGATAAAAGCCCCCCCCCCCCTCCCCAAAAGAGCCCCCAAACTTGCCCTCGCAAAAGGGCGTTTGGAGTGGCAAATCTGGGTTTTGGGGACAAAAGGAAAAAATACCCTAAGCCCTAAACCCTAAACCCTAAAGTAAACCTTAACCCTAAACCTGACGGTCCCTTTGAATGGAGGTTCGATTCTAACCGGCGTGGCCCCCCATCTTGGGCAATGCCCGATCTCGCGCTTGAAGATCTGAGAGGCTAGGGTTGATCTAATGATGAAAGAGTAAAGCCATACTCCCTTCTGTAGTCGCGACCTTGCAGTTAGAGAGTTTTTTTGGTATTTTTGGTGTTACCCTCCGTCCAGTACATTTTGTTTCTTGCTTTTACAAAGTTTAACCTCGGCCAAACCTTGCAGTTAGAATATTCTTTTCCAAAGAGAAAGAGAAAGAGAAAGAGAAAGAGACAGAGACAGAGAAAGACAAAGAGAAAGACAGAGAGAGAGAGAGGGACAAGAGAGAGGTGACAAAAAACAAAAAGCAGGAAGAGTGAGGGAGGGAGGGGGGGAATTGCGAGCTCATCCGGCGGTATGCTGCTTTCACAGGTGAGGCGGGTTTCAGTTCCCACCCTGAGCCATTCCTCGTGTTCGTTTCTTCCTGCTCCTTCGAGAAGTAGAGAGGGAGAGGGCCAGAAAGGAGAGGGAACAGCAGCAGCCGCCGCGGCCGCCGAGCTAAGACAAGCCCGTCAGCACTGACGCGGCAACTCTTGTTCGAATTCTACTGATCGCGTGGCCCAGGCTCGAATGCTGGGGTGAATTTCTTGAACGATGAAGGCAATATGAATTTTATGTTGGCAAACGGGTGCCAAGAACAATCAACGCTCATTCCAACAATCGCAGGCCTCTCATTGTTGTGTCAGCCACGCTTTCTGACGATTGTTGGGAACGGCAACTTCAGGCCAAGTCGTGCCTGCGTGAAGACCCTCAGCGGCGACCGCCACTCCTAGATGTGTCCTGGCATGATGGTTGCGCAACGTGGTTGTGTGGCACCAGCTGTGATTGATGTGAGCTGGTCAGGGTAGCCCTGCCAACCAAAGATGTAGCTCTGGAGTGAAGCATCAGCGTTGGGAAGGAGTGGGGCGGGGGCCTGTGGAGGTGTGGCCCACACTTGTCGGCAAGGTACACCAGGAACGCAGGGGGACCTGCCAAACTTTACTATAGGGTGGGGCAGTGAGATGGAGAGGACAAGATTCAGGAGCGAGGTCGGCAGGGGAGATGGGGCTGGGGGTGAGCGAAACTCGCGCAAAGAAGCCAGGCGAATTTCAAGAATCGCTGAGAAAAAAGGCTGCTGATACCTTAATTATTGTCTGTCTGATTTGGGGCGTTTGCAGCTTGAGCTCGCAGGGCCTTGCGCCCAGTGCAGCTCCTCTCATGCTGCCAAGCTGATGCGTAACAAAAACGGAGCGGTTGTGATGAGTTTTGTGCAGGAAGCGCCTGCGCCGCAAGTGACCTTCAGTAACTTGGAGCCGCAATCTCCTTGCCGTCTTGGCAATGGCAATGGCAGGACACTCGTTGCATCCATGAAGTGCCAGCAGTATTTCTGTCGCACGCGTTGGTGCGCAGGCGTCCACTTCTTGGGACGACTGCAGATGCAGTCGGCCCAGAAGACAAAAAAGCCAAGACTCTTGCTGCAGCTGAGCAGTGCGCAACAGGTCTTGGCTGCAATGTTTGCTGGTGTTGCCGCGAAGCTCTCAGAGCAACACGCCGGTAGCTGGCTCGTGCTTCTATGTGTTTCGTTCTCAGGATGGAGATGGCGAGCTTTGCGCACCATGCAAGACGGTTGGACCAAGCATGCCGTGCATGTCCGGATGCCGTGGTCTGTCACAAGGTGGGGCTGCCAGAGGATGGCCAACACACGTGTGGATCCGACCAAGATGCAGCGGTGTAGAGACTACTGTTTCACCCAGCCTCGTTGGGCAGGCTTGTTTGCTCCGTTGCCAGTTTGGTGTGTAACCCAAGGTTCCGTAATACTCCGCACTACCCCCTAAGGCTTCCTAAGCTTCCCTAAGGTTCCCTAGTTAGCACCAACAAGCAACGAAGCACCCTGCCAGCCCAAGTCAACGCGAACACGTATTGGCACAAACAACCTCGGCTTAGAAATACGCGCCCAGGGTGCAATAATATGAGGGTGACACACTGCTGTTGAAGTCCGCTTGAGATCGCGTGTTTGCGCTGTCCAACAGGGGCGTCCTTACATCCTAAGGAGGAGTCTTATTCCCCAGTCCTCTTTGCTGAATCCTAAAGAGCCGGATCCCCGAATCTTACTCCCTAAATCCCCAAACCCTATTTCCTTAATTTCATGCCCCAATCTTGTTCCCGAATCCCTGAAGAGGGGGGTTCTTTCATTCCTATAGAAGAGACGCCCGAAATCCAAAAAATGTATCCCATTCCCTTTCCCGAAATCCTTTACGCTAAGCTCTGAAAACCCAGATTTTCCATGGCGGGGGGAGCATTAATTCGTGCTAATGCCTATGCAAGCGGGGTTGGGCCGCCGGGTTGAGCGTTTAGGGAATGATGGTTTAGGGTTAGGGTTTAGGTTTACGGATTTAGAGTGTAGGGCTTCGCAAGTACGGTAGTTGAAGCTTCAGCTTGGCGGCCCCGAGCCCTCTGTTTCACCCAGCCTCGTTGGGCAGGCTTGTTTGCTCCGTTGTCAGGTTGGTATGTAACCCAAGGTTCCCTAATATTCCGCACTACTCCCTAAGCCTTCCTAAGCTAGTTAGCACCAACAAGCAACGAAGCACCCTGCCAGCCCAAGTCAACGCGAACACGTATTGGCACAAACAACCTCGGCTTAGAAATACGCGCCCAGGGTGCAATAATGTGAGGGTGACACACTGCTGTTGAACTCAGCTTGAGATCGCGCGTTTGTGCTGTCCAACACATCCAGCCACGCAGGGCCTTCTTGTTTTGTTCAACTGCCGCACTTGCAAGTCTGGCTCATTTTGGTTGCGTAGTCCCTTCATAAGGCCATACTAAGCCGCCTCCTCCAAGGTCTTGCGCAGACAGCTGTAAAACTAGTAAGAATCCTAGGTTATCAAGTATGAGTCCTATTAAAAGGAATCGTATTCAAAAAAAATGGGATTTCTGTTTATATAAGAACACGAAGGCCTTAAACACTATTCTACTTGCACCCGTCCATTTAAGTTTTTTTTACTTCGAACGTCCCCACCCTCTCTTGGTAGATCTACTCTGGGGTTACAGGAGCTGGGTCCGGGACTGGGGTTGGGCACTCCTGGGCACTCCAGAGAGACTCTGACTTTGGGCAATTCCGGGAGAGTCTGGGGCTGGGCTCCAGGGACACTTTGGGGTTGGGCACTGCAGGGAGGAGCGAGGAGAAGATCTCCGGGCGAGGAGAAGAGTTGAGTTTAAAATCTAACAACCCCACACCGAGGGTGGGGGAAGAATATCCTAACTGCAAGGTTTGGCCCGAGGGCAAAATCCGGCTGCTTGCCCTCCGCAAAAAAAATATTCTGGCTGCACCCCCCCCCCCCCCCCCCCCCGTTTTTCAATACTTTAACTGCAAGGTCGCTACTATACGCCGTAGAAACATAATCTTCCCCGGGGTTGTGTTGCAATGGACCCTTGCTTGAAAGCATAGCATCTTTGCAGGTCAGAAAGGGGCCCAGGTTGCGATGAGCATTTGGAGATGTGGGTCACGCAAGGGTCGAGAGTTGGCATTTGTTCTGGTTCAGGACGTCGATGGTAAAGAAATTGGGCGCAAGAAGAACACCAAGATGCTAAAGCCATATGTAGCTCTAGTGTTGCAGTTTCGTCCTTCTGTTTTCGTAATTCCATGTTAAACCCTAAACCCTGTTCAGATGTCATGCTTTCCGGCGGGTCGTGAGGACAAGGGATGCACTGAGCAACACAAAGGTAAAACCGAAGTTGCGGACCAGGTTTAGGGTTTAGTGTTTAGGGTTTAGGGTTACGTAATGCGCGTACCCTAGATTACCCTAGGCTTTGTTGAGGGATTCGCTTTTTGGGTCTCGGGGGTGTTCCCTAAACCTTAAACCCCAAGTAAACCCTAAACCCCAAACCCCAAACCCTAAACCCCAAACCCCAAACCCCAAACCCCAAACCCCAAACCCTAAACCCTAAACCCTAAACCCTAAACCCTAAACCCTAAACCCAAGCGAGCGAAGCCCGAGGCATGTCTCCGGAACGTATCCCGGTCTCCGGTCCCAGCAACGACTGGTGAGCTCTTTCAAGAATCAGGCTCTCGTTTGCTGGGACAGCTCTGCTTTAGGGTTTAGGGTTTGGGGTTTAGGGTTTAGGGCTAGAGTTTAGGGTTAGGATGGGGTTTCTCAGAGCTTTGAAGAAAGGGTTTTGGAAGGTGTGCTCGGTAGCCTAGCGAAAGTGGATGAAGCCACGGGATTTGTTGCTGTAGCTGCTAGCTGAATCCAGTGCTTGAATCCAGCGCCGGTTGTCCGTCCCAGGGTCGCCAGACAAAACTCGAGACTGAAAGCCGCAGAAGCTACTGCCCGTGAGCGCGTCCATCGGGGAAAAAAGTGTGGAGAGCTTCGTGTTGAAGGTTTGGAGTCTTAACCCTAAACCCAAAGTTCTTGTCAGATCTGGCTGAGCGCACGGGCTCTTTCCTGGCCTAGGCAGTTGGCTTCCTGCTTTCCCTCGCGGTTTACAGGGTTTAGGGTTTAGGGTTTAGGGTGACAGAAAGCCCGTTGCAAACGGGCTTCGGGTTTAGCATACATCACCAAAGGATGCGGAGGACGAGGCCCCAACTCCTAAATTCCAAGAGGTTCCTTTTGGGTCCGGGTTTAGGGTTTGTTGTATCATTATCAGGGGGCGTACGCTATACAAAAAAGCACTTCTCCTGGGGACACAGGCAGGAGCTGTTACAGCCAAGACCGGGGCAGGGTTTGGGGTTTAGGGCTTAGGGCTTAGGGTTTAGGGTTTAGGGTTTAGGGTTTAGGGTTTAGGGTTTAGGGTTTAGGGTTTAGGGTTCCCCTGTTGCACAGGTCACTGCCTGCGAAAGCCATTGTACAGTGTACAGTCGGGGCACCGTCGGCCAGCAAGAGTGCACGCAACGAAAAGGTCGACAATGGTGTTGAGGTTTAGGGTTGGAGTTTAGGGTTTAGGGTTTAGGGTTTAGGGTTTAGGGTTTAGGGTTTAGGGTTTAGGGTTTAGGGTTTAGGGTTTAGGGTTTAGGGTTTAGGGTTTAGGGTTTAGGGTTTTCCCATGGGGGTGCTTCATGAGATGGACACTTTTACACCTGCAAGGAGGATCGACAGCAGCTGCGCCAAGTGTTGGGGGGTGTTGGTGCATTCGCTTTCGTCATGCTTTGCAACTGCGCTACAAAGTCTTCATGTGTGTCCAGAAATCTGGAAGGTGAATTCCTAAACCCTAAACCCTAAGCCTTAAGCAGAATGACCAAAATGGCAAGGCTTCTGTGCACGTGCAGAACACACACGGAAGTGGCCACATATGGGTCGCAGAAGCGGATACGTACAGGTAATTGCATGCATGCATACATACACACATATTAGGCACACCCACACACATGCATCTAAGAAGGTACATGCACATATATACATTGCCACATGCCAGCGCGCATGAATGCGCGAAGACCTACGCATATACATGTGCCGATTTGCAGCTTCGGCCGCCTTTTTTTTTTGCTCTGTTTGTAGACATTACGTCAATACCCCCGAAAACTGTTATCTGCTTAAGAACCCAGAAGAATAATCAGACAAAAATATGACTTCCTATATCCCCCTTATAAGTAGTATGTTTCGTTTTTGTTCTGTGGAGTTGGGTTTCTTGAGCAGAAAATTCGCTCAGAAGCAGTATGACAAGGCCCAGAAGTAAACACAGCAAGAGTCAAAGTCTCCATGCCGGTCTTGTGCCTCAACTGGGCGGGCAAGGTATACATGGGGTAGGGTGTAGGGTTGTAGGGCTTCAGAGTTTTTGGGTTTCAGGGTTTTCGGGGTTTAGGGTTTTAGAGTTTTAGGGTTTTAGGGCTTCAGGTTTTTTTGGTTAAACCCTCTTCTCAGAAGCCTGTAACAAACGGGGTCTTGCTTGGGAATCCGATCTGGATGGCTGCGTGTAGACCTAAACCCTAAACCCTAAACCCTAAACCCTAAACCCTAAACCCTAAACCCTAAACCCTAAACCTTAAACCCTAAACCCTAAACCCTAAACCCTAAACCCTAAACCCTAAACCCTAAACCCTAAACCCTATGCCATGGAGTCCTCTTCGGAGTCTGACGATGATGAGGGCTGCCTGGAGAGACGGAAGAAGCCCGCCAGCTGCCATTGGAGGGTTTAGGGTTTAGGGTTTAGGGTTTAGGGATTCCGCAGAATGCTGAAGAGCAGAAGGGCATTTCTACAGAAACAACGATGCCTCAGTACACATCATAGCACAGTAGTTTCTTAAAGGAGAGCTACAGTCCGGGATACTTCGAAAGAGGGGGGCCAACTAAACCTAACCCTAAACCCCAAACCCTAAACCCTAAAGTTTTGCTTTGGGTTTAAGCTAGTGGAGCCGAAGACATACAAATACACATCACAAGTCGGAGGGGTGATCTCTGGAGATGCTTTGCCCATGCCGATAGCGCCTTGCGAGGGCCCTGAACCACCTACTTGGAGGTTCGTGGTACTTAGTAACTAATTCGAACTCTACTTCTAACGCACTTATCAGCCCCTTAACTGCCCTAAAAGGGTTGGAAGTACAACTATAAGTCCAGTTTCATTTAGTTACTAAGTACCATGAACCTCCAAGTACAGACCTATGCTCGGCCGCAGGCGCTTGGCATGGGGGGTGGTCGCACTCTCCTTGCTGCCGCTCGGCGTTGCTACGCCTTAGCCCCAACAGCAAGGGCCTCGTTAGTTCGGGTTTAGGGTTTAGGGCTTAGGGTTTAGGGCTTAGGGTTTTAGGGTTTAGGGTTTAGTGTTTAGGGGACTCAGCTCAAACCGAAATGCACAACTTCTTGGCTACCTCTCTTGAGATCCTAAGCATCCACGTAGTAGACAGTGTATACTTATCTAGGAACCCTCTAAGGCCCAAGTATCTACTACATGGCGAGAACGTCAGTTCAGCCAGGCGTCTGGCACAAAAGGCTAGTATAGGGATCAGAAGAATTCCCAATAGTATTCCCTATGCTATCACAACCCCCAAAGCCCTATCCTAATTATTAAGGCCCCTTTATTAAACTCTAACTGAACCCTAAGCCCTTCAACGCGAAACCGAAGCCCAGGACCATTGTACTTGGCCTGCCACAAGTGCCGGTGCTTCTGCACTTCCATATGCCTCTGGGCTTTGTGGCCAGCAAGGACAGGGTTGTAGCGTTTAGGGTTTAGGACAAACCTGAACCCTAAACCCTAAACCCTAAACCCTAAACCCTAAACAGGTTTCGGGTTGCGTTTAGGGTTTACCGACTGACAGGCCGCCGCGACCCTAACACGCTACGTACGGAACCCTGAAACACCTGGGTGCTGTGGGAAGTGAGGAGACTCTGCCAACCTTATAGGCCAGATGAACCCCGAATTGGGATTTAGGCCCTAAATTTTAGGGTAAACCTAAACCCTAAACCCTAAATCATCCTAAACCCTTCACCCTAAACCCTAAAGGGTTTTTTAGGGTTTAGGGTTCAGGGCTCGTATTCCCTATCCTACAAAAGCTCCTATGGAAGGTATATACGAACCCTAACGGGTTCATTTGGTTTATCCAAAAAAACTCTCACAGTTTCCGGACGTCATGAGAGCCTTCGGAGGCTTCAGGATTTTTACTGCGACTTGGGGGCTTGGAGGCTTCCGAAGCCCTAAATGCATAGTTTTTTGGGGGGTCCTATGAACAAAAAGCGGTCCCCGAAGAAGGGACCCTAACTTAGAGAACGACCTAAACCCTAAACCCTAAGCCCTAAGCCCTAAACCCTAAACCCTAAACCCCAAACCCTAAACCCTAAGCTGCGCTGTGCAGCTTCAATGAAGTACAGACTGGCCCGGACCGCACTTGGCGAGGACAGCCCCGGCATGGTTGGCATGGCACCTTCTCGGCGGTCCAGAGTTTTTGTTTAGGGTTTAGGGTTTAGGGTTTAGGGTTTAGGGTTTAGGGTTTAGGGTTCAGGGTTCAGGGTTCAGGGTTCAGGGTTCAGGGTTTAAGGTTTAGGGTTTGGGGCTGGTACCGGCTTCACGAGGGCTTAGGGTTTTTTAATTAAGTTTCGAGTGTAAAGGCTTAAAATGTTGGATGTAGGAAAGGCTGTCTTTTGCAGCACTGGGAGCTGTTGCGTTGAAGCTCTGTGTTTTAGGGTCTAGGGTGCAGGGCTTAGTGTTCGGGTTCAGGCTTTAGGGTTTAGGGTGCAGGAATCCCAGCTGAATTCCTCCACCGCAAACCCAACTCCCCCTGAAAACGGCGGCGTAAGTTGACCCGAAAGAAGCCTCGGCAGACGGCCAAAACCCAAGCCCTATAAACCCAAAACCGGGTTTAGGGTTTACGGCTTAGGGGTTTAGAGTTTAGGGTTTAGGGTTGTCCACCCCAACCCTCCACTTCTCAGCCCATGCAGTCCAGGCAGAGCTGGGGGAGTTCTTTCCCCGCGTCAAGCAAGGCATTGAGGCCCCAGTCATGATGCTGATTCGCAGCGTGCCGGCCGGAATTTCGACGACTTTTCTGTAAGTTCAGGGCTTTAGGCTGTAACGAGTTTAGGTTGGGATGTTCCCCCTCAAACTGACAGTCCTTCAGAGGGATGATGATAGGGGGTACCCTAAACCCTAAACCCTAAACCCTAAAACCCTAAAACCCTAAAGTTTTAGGGGGAGCATCCCAAGGTTTAGACTTAAGGAGTTTGGGGAGTGGGGACTCACGGCACACTTCAGGATCTAGGCGTTTAGGGTTTAGGGTTTAGGGTTTAGGGTCAGCGGTGTAGGGTTTAGGGTTTAGGGCTGAGGGCTCGGGGTTTAGGACTCTGGGGGCTGCTTTGACAGACGAGGAAGGCAAAAGTCTCAAACAACAGAGGGGGTTTAGGGTTTAGGGTTTAGGGTTTGGGGTTTAGGGTTTGGGGTTTAGGGTTCAGGGTTTGGTGTTGAGAGTTTCAAGGAGAACCCTACACCCGAAACCCTGAACCCTTTTTGGACAACATGATGTGAAGCAAGCCTCTTAGCGGAGTTTCGCGAACCCCTCAACCCTATCAAATAAACCGTAGTAGTGTTGTGGTGCCTTGGTTTGGTGTTGGGGCTGAGTCAGCTCAACTCGATAATTTCGGTCCTGGGGCCTTATAGTTTAGGGTTTAGGGTTTAGGGTTTAGGGTTTAGGGTTTAGGGTTTAGGGTTTAGGGTTTAGGGTTTAGGGTTTAGGGTTTAGGGTTTAGGGTTTTTAGAGTTTAGGGTTTTTAGAGTTTAGGGTTTTTGCTAGTGGGTAGCTTCAGGGATGTCCATTTGGAGGTTCATGGGTACTTACCAATAGGTAGGGTTTTTTTGCCGGGTAAGTATTTCCATAACCTTCTTTCGGGTACTTATAACCCTACATATAAGTACCCATGAACCTCCAAGTAGGAGACTTTCCTGAGGGATTTGGTCATTCCAGGTTTTCGAGGGCTTTCGGGGGTTGTAGGGCGTAGGGCTTGTGGTAAGTTGAGAGACCCACAACCCCAGGCACGGGCGCAGACAAAGTGCTGACGCCAGTTGTGGAAGCCTTCACTGGAGACCTGGTGTCCCAAGTGTGCCTTAGACAAATAGCACTTAGGGTTCAGGGTGTTCAGATCCAGCATCAGAGCGAGGGAGGGTTGAGGTGGGTTGAGAGCGAGGGCCTACGCACTCTTCTCGGTCTTGACTTCAAAGCAACCAAGTCCTCAAGTCCGCAAACCCTGAACCCTAAACCCTAAACCCTAAACCCAAAGCCCTCGCTGTAATCTCACACCGACCCTTCAGGAAGGCCGACGCCCGAACGCGGGTACTGGAGCCGATGGTCCTGGGTTCCTTGGGTTCTTTCCGGGCCTTCGGGGTTTAAGTTTTCGGGTTTCGGGTTTAGGGTTTAGGGTTTCGGGCTCCACCCTGAAGCCTACCTAGACCACAAACTCTACTTGGAGGTTCAGGGTACTTCTAAGTCCTCTAGGTAGGTTATAAGAGGTTTATACTTGGGGTTACAAGTACCAATGAACCTCCAAGTAAACCCTACACCCTCAGCCCTAAACCCCAAAGGATTTGGATTTTGGGGGTGTTTAGGCTTGAGCCTTCTGGGCGCTTGATGGAGCGTTAGGGGGTTTAAGGGTCTAACCCTAAACCCTAAACCCTAAACCCTAAACCCTAAACCCAGGGGACGTTCCAGTAGCAGGCACAGCACGTCGAAGGATTTGGCCTCAGAATCTTTCGAGAAGCAGACTCACACCTTATAGTTTTCCTGGAGCCTCAAGTGGGTTCCAGTCCCTAAGGGTCCATGTACCTATATGGTATATACCCCTAAAGCTGCTATATGGGAACCCCTTCAAGGCCCAAGTATATACTATATGGGTACATGGACCCTTAGGGAGTTGCTGAGGCTACTACACTGACGGGGCTGTGGCAGGCGGGGCGATTCGTTGACAAAAACTCCCAACCCTGCAATCAGCTTCAAACTTCCGAGACATCGCAGGAGGTCCAGGAGAAGTCCCAACCGTGAAGGAATTCCGAAAGCTCCAAGAACATCATGCTCTGTTCTGCCCCGACACGACCAGGAGTGCACTTGCCATTGAGCCTTCGCAAGCAGATGCTCGGCAGCGCCATCCCCGACCAATTGGCAAGCGCCCACCTTGCAGTATAATTAATCGTTGCAGACGGTTTAGGGCTTGTATGGTTGAGGGCTTAAAGGTTCCCAAGATTTAGCCTACTTTTGCTGCTATTCACCATAGAACAGACTCCTCCAGCAGCCTGGCACGACAGGGTAAACAAGGCCTTGGACACGTCCCAAGGGTCTATAAATGGCTCGCCTCGACGTGCCTGAAGCAAGAAAGAACATGTTAAACACACTAAATAGGTTGAGGGCTGCAGGCTCCGATCTAAAGGCCATGCCCCCACCTGCAATTGACGGGCGCCACTTCCAAGGTGCACGCGCGCGCGCTTCCAAGGTGCACGCGCGCACGCTTCCAAGGTGCACGCGCCATGTTGGGAACCTGCGCAGGGCCGAGTGTTCTTGTACCCTGAAGCCTCAACCGTAAACCCTTAGCCCCAAGGTCCAAGCCTTAAAAACCATGAAAGCCTGCGCAGGGCCGAGTGTTCTTGTGCCCTGAAGCCTCAACCGTAAACCCTAAACCCTAAAAAACCCTAAACCCTAAAAAAGCCCTAAACCCTAAAAGACTCTAAACCCTAAACCCTAAAAGACCCTAAACCCTAAACCCTAAAAAACCCTAAACCCTAAACCCTAAAAAACCCTAAACCCTAAACCCTAAAAAACCCAAACAAACCCTAAACCCTAAAAAACCCTAAACCCCAAAAAACCCTAAACCCTAAACCCTAAAAAAACCCTAAACCCTAAAAAACCCTAAACCCTATGCGGAGCTGCAGTTTGTATTGTGGAAAAGAGTTGGTGTTGAAGGATAAAGGGTCAATGAACCTGGTAACCTTTGTGGCTCAAGAATGGCCACTAACAACGGCTGTTCAAAGCGAAAAGCAGTGCCCTGGGGTTTGGGGTTGGGGTTGGTGTCTGGTTACTTTGGTAAGGATATCCCCCTCCCTCCTTCGGGTGCTCTTGTTTGGATCTGTGTTGTGTTCTTCGGTTCAGGGAGTTCATTTAGGCAGCCAAGGGTTGAGATTCTTTCTTTTCCCCTTTTGGTTGCCCCCGTAGGTTATGAGCCCAAATTAGGTTCCCTGCGGTTGGGTGTTCTCTTAAGGTTTTTGGGATCAAGAAGCAATGCCTTCTCCCAAGCGATGGCTCCAGCCTTCCTCGGATGGTGGTCAGAATGGTGGAGCTGGAAATGGTGCAGCTGAGTCTCTGGGTGAAAGGGCGGTGCTGGAAGAGGTAATGCCTGGCGCTGAAGAACATCTGGAAGAAGCCTTGGTTGCAGAAGGCCCCAATGTGGGTACGAATCCCAATGTGGATATGGTTAGCAATGCTGAAGCTGAAGGACGTGCTGTCTCTGTATCGCCAAAGCCTGGTGAAAAAAGGAACTGGGACGCGACTGGTGGTATAGACCGTGAAATGGAGGTGACTGTTTTACGCGTGTTGCAAAAGCATGGGTATCAGCCGTCGACTTCAACTTCGGGCCGAATGGTGGATCAAGGGTCTCAGACCAATCTGAGTGGAGAGGTGCTGCAAGCTGCCAGGAGGCCTCTGAACAAGATTAAAGGGGATCCCTCGGTGAGTTCCCTAGGTGGTGGAAGCGGTTACGAACAGAAGGGTGCGGACAGCTTTGAAGCTGCACCAACTGCTGAATACGCCATGGGGGAAGAGGAGATCTTACAGATGGAGGCTGAAAGGTTGCGCCAGTTGTCAGAAGAAGAGGAGGAGATGCGTCAAGTCTCTGAAATGGATGGTTTTCGGAAAGATGAGCATCTGATCAAAGCGTGTGATGGGACAACGTGGGAATGGCACTTCCACGAAGATGGGAGACAATATTACTACTGCCTGGATACGCAGGAAAGCAAGTGGACATTGCCGGCTGTAGGTGAAAAGACGAAGAGTGACGAGGTGGTTGGGTCTCCTTCGGGCAATGAGCTGGAAATGGAGGCTGCACTGGGTTCTTCATCATCTGCTCCGACGCCTGAGTCGACGAGGGCATTCCAGGGTAGTGTAAATAGTGTAGGTGAAAAGGATTTTTCCTCTACTATCAGGGATAGCGTTTTTAGGGCTGGTGGTGACGCCCAGACCTCGGGTTCTCCTGATGAGGAAGGAATTTCTGGAATCCGAGCAGACATCGCTGGAGAACATCTGGATCGGGAAGAAATGAAAGCGCTTTCTGAGGGTGTGGCAGCGGTGGAATCGGTGGGTCCAGAGGAAAAAATGCCCAATGCGGAGATTGGAACTGTGTCGGCTGCGGAAGAGCGAGTGGTGGATGTGGTACCTGTCGTTCAGGAAGGTGGTCCTGGAGATTTGGATGACGGAGGGAAAAAGTTGCGCGTTACGACTGAGGAGGTCTCTTCGTTTGGTGCCAAGAATCTTGCCATTCAAGGGAAAAAAGAAGCTTCTGGAATAGCTGGAGACACGGTTGATCTGAAAGATGAGGCCTGGAGCGCCAATGAAGCGCGGGTCAATGTGCCAGATAGTACCTGGAGTGCGGAGGAAGCACGGGTTGAGGCGCATATGGTGTCACGTTCCGCGGACGACTGCAACAATGGGGCGCAGGTCTCCGTAGCAGCTGACGACGGAGGTTCACAGGTGGACGCACTGGTGCAACCTGAAGTTAGCAGCGAGGAACGAAATGGCAAAGGCTACACCGGAGCCAATGTGGCAGCTGTGGCCAACGATTGTGGTGATTCTCTTTTGGAAACCATGGAGCCAAAGGAGCCTGCGGTGGAAGAAAATGTGCCTGCCGCGGATGAGCAATCCAACAGCCCTGCAGTGGAAGAAAATTTGCCTGCTGCAGAAGGTTTGACAAAAGACTCCAATGGTGGGTCCACTCCCACGAAGGGGGAAGTATTGCCGTCTGAAAGCTTGCCGGAAGTCGACACCGAGCGAACTGTAACAGATGAGGCAAAGCCATTGGCTGGAAAAAAGGAAGGTCCTGAACCCCTTGAGCACAAGGTGGATGATCTTGTGGGACTCGTGCAGGAGCAGGACAAGCAGCTTGACCCAAAGGTGGAAACAAGGGATGTTCCAGGAGCCGATGATACAGAGATGGTTTCTGAAGAACAGGCAAAGGAAGTGCCCAATGAGGGAGCCTTGGTGACACCTGGGGAGCATTGTTATCAAGCAGGAGATTGGATCACTGCTCTGGTGCGTTGCATCAATGTATATGGAGCCTTTTTGGAACACGGTGATCTGAATGTGCTGATTCCTGAAGAAGGGAAAAATACACCTTCTTTCAAAATTGGTGACACTGTCTGTGCGACAGTGAAGAGGGTGGATGATGATGGCACTGCGATTTTGGATTCCTACCTGGTTTTTGAAGAGGACGAGGAGGACTCTTCTCCAGCGCAGCGCAAATGGAAAATCCTCAGAAGAACAAGAGGAAAGGCAACTCTATGGAGAAAAGATCTATAGAGCTCTTCTGGAGGATGGAAAAGCTGATAAGGCCATATAAGGCCTATGTGGGCAAAATCACTGGGATGTTGCTGAGTCGTACAATAGACGTGGTTATGGAGTGTGTTGCAGATCATGCATTCCTGAATGCGGAAGCTCGGCGTGCATATGGCATCTTGCAAAGTGATGGTTGGAAGCCCGATGGTACAGAAGGCGCAGGCTTGGGAAAGACAACCACTTTTTCCCGAAAGCAGTACCACAACGCGCTCTACGAACTGGCACGTAAGAAAAGGAGATTTAGTGGACCAGTTGTGGGTGAAGCGGTGGCAATGTTGCTGAGTCAAGGCAAAGATGAACTTTGGAATGCGCTTTGGCTGGATACCAAGCGGTTTTTGCAGGAGCTTGATGGTGCAGTTGAATCTATGAGTAAGAGAGAAAATAAGCCAATGGAAGCCTACATGGATCCCGATCAGTATAAGAAGGCTCACCTGACGCCAAAAACTGTGTCACCAGGGTACAGCAAGCTGTGCAAGTTTTTCAATCAGGGAAGGTGTCGCAATGGAGATGAGTGTTCCTATGAACATCGTCGTTATGGTGAAGGTTGGCCAGGAGGAGGACCAACTGAGCCAAAGAACAGCCAAAAAGCTGGAGACGAGGATGGGGACATTGGTGACCCTCCTACAGAAGAAGGCACAGTGGATGAGGCACAGCAGGAGCGGGAGGATTCAGCTTTCAGAGCCAAGTACAACTTTGGTAAAGGTGCATCAAAGGGTGAGTCTGTGTCAGTCGAGCCAAAGAGGCAAATGTGTTTGTATTACAACCAAGGAGGTTGTAAATATGGAAATTCTTGCAGATATTCGCACGACGAAAAAGCGGTTTTGGAAGGGACTTGGGAACCCGGCAGATCCTGGGACAATGCTTCTCGGAAAGCCATAAGGGACGCAGGGTTCCATCATTGCTGCTTCGACTACTACCTCAAAGGGAGATGTCGCGTGCGATATGGTTGCAAGTATTCCCACGACGAAATGTCTGAAGAGCGACTGGCCCAACTGAAGCATCTGGCGAATGTGGCGAACCATGTTTCGTTTCAAAGAGGAAGAGGATTGGAGATTTCCGACAGGAACACCTTCCAACCACCGGTAAGTCGGGGAGCAGAATCTTCATCATCTTCAGCACCACAGGCGTTGCAAATGACCAATGTGTCAAAGAAAACAGGTGAGGGTGATACGCTGGATGGAGCAGATGGAGATGTACAAAAGGATTCGGTGGCAGAGTCTACCACGGTACGTCTTCAGAATCCAGAAGAGCCAATAGAAAATTGGATGGCTCGCAACAAACACTTGTGGGTGTATACACCTCACGTAAGTGACGTGATGATCAAGCTTGGTGTAACCAATGTCAGAGAGCTACAAGAGTATATCTTCGTGGAGGATTTGGTGGAAAAAGGGGTTAACAAGGTGACGGCCTGCAAAATTCTGCAATTGGTGGGTGGTGTTCATTACCGGCCAATGTCGCCGGATGTGGCTGTTTCTACCAACGCATCGGTACGCATGGAGCAATCTTCTGGAAGCCGTGAAGCTGGAGGAGGTGG